TTCGTTTTCCTCCCTTCACGTTTGTTTTAGTTTACATTAGTGCTCTTTTTTTGTACTTGACACACTTTCGTGTGTATAAAATAAAGCAGTGAATAAAACAGTGACTACTAACAACATTTTTCCGTAACTAGACGATGAAGAGGGATCATCTCTAAAATTTTCTTTTAGCAAAGGGAGGGGAGAGGTGAATGAGCACGCTAAACATCTCTATCAAGCCTTTTCTATGATTTCACTAAAGCTGCTTTTATTCCATAAAAAGTAGATGGAAAATTTGCCTCGATAAAGAATCTCCGTGAGATATTTGACGAGCCTTTGCTCTTATTTCTATATGGTTTTCGATTCAAAACTGGCGGTTTGGTACTTCACCATCGAGAATGTGCAAAAAACATTTTTTGTTTTTTTTTTCTCTCCATTCTGCTTTGAAGAATTTTTGGAGATCTTTTCTCACCCTTATCACGTTCAGACAAACATATGCATCATGTGTATCGGAACAAATGCAAGTAGTAAAAAAAGTCCGTCTGAGAGAACAAGTAGCGTGGTTGACAGAATGGTTAATATTGTGACTTACCTCAATAAATTCGAGCAAAGCTGATTTCGCTATTGATTTTTGGATCTATTTTAGGCGTTAGTTGCAGAAATGGATAATCGGCAGTTCCTGGGTAGTTCTTTTACCACTACGTGGAATAATTTTTCCACAAAAAGTCACTTCAAAAGATCAGGGCACGTTTGAGTACGGTTCACTCTTCAAAAACCCTCCATATCTGAACAGTGCGGGCGAATTGATTTGCCCAAAGTGGACCTTTAATTTTGATTTTTAACAACAAATTTGTAAATGGGAAATGAAAGGTATCGTTTACTTTCTTTCATTCTCACTTTTTTGCTTTGACTATTTTTTCTCTAATCCTTTATCTTTTGAGTATAGCGGTTTAATTCCGTTCTTGCCTGTCTCTACCCATTCGCACCTCATATAAATTAGTTCTCACAGTTGCGGCTGTCGTTGTCGAGTGCAATTCGCTACTCTTTATTTACAACTAGCAAGAAATAAAACATCTGAGAAAGTCTGCAAATATTAGGTTGATGCGCAGTTTTTGCACCAATTTTTTTGAAATTCTGTTACTTCCTCTAGCTTCAATGAAATCTTCTGATTTGATACACAAGAAAAGAGAGAAAACCTTGCGTTTCCTGCTGGTGCTCGGGTCAAAATTTCTTGAGGGCTGACAACGATATAAGCTAATAAGCGAGTGATTTCTCGATTTTTCTCGAACTAAAATTGCTAGATCGTCTACAAAAAATCAAATTAATTTTTGGTGACATACTCTTTTTGACGTCTCAGCGAATAGGTACGAACTTCGATTCTTAAAATTGATCTATCATTTTTGTTTCATATCGATTTTCTAAAATGCTTTATAAAATAATACTTTTGATAAACGCAACAAAGAGCATATTCTTTCAATTGATTAATTGGTTTAAGCAATTTTAAAACTATTTTATTTATTTTCTGCTGCAAGAGTTGTGCATCAATGTAATATATTTGTCATTTCCTGACTTCTCTGTTTTTGTAATCAAGATTTTGATGTTTGCTCGGCTCTTGAATAGATGGTATAGATTTCATGTCGGTATCGTCATCAATAGAATTCTATCGCTCGCATCTTTTCAACTATTGTCACCTATGAGCATTTGTCAGCTAAAGCTATTCATCTGCTCCCAGAAATGTTTTTATTATGATTCCTTTCCTTTCTCCTTTCCATGGCTCTTTTCTTTATGCTTTGCGCAAAGAATAATTTTTCTGTGTATTTTGAGTTCGAGCACCGACTTCGCATTATGATAGAGGTTTCGATGTTGATTTGGGTCATCTATTCAAAAGTCTCGACATATAATTGGAAGGAAGTTGAATTCTTTGGCTGAGTTTTTGCAATTTTTAAGTGAACTGACTAATTTCTGAAGTGCCATCTCAAATTTCCACAGCAGTAGTCAACATGAGTCCACTATTTTGCCCTTTTCTTCGTCACCGTCGTGAAAATTCATAATCTTGAATAATCACCACTATAGTTCATAATGGCAATACAAACCAATTTTCTCCGAAAACTGACCGCACGTATACATTCAGCCATCAATCTCTTTGCATTACCATACTTGAATGGGTCAATTCTGCTCTTTATGATGTGTTTTTTCGTTAATCGTTGACCCAAGGTGACCCACATTGGAGAGATTGTTTTCTGCAGCCGCTGTTTAATTGATTACTGTGGAACATATATATGACTCTTGGAAATTTCTTGGAAATTATTTGACAGTACCCGCAATTTCAGTCTCCTTTGCAGTTTTTTTTGCAATTTCTATCCATTATAAGTAGGAAAATGAGAATTAGGCACCTAGACTCTAGTAGTTGTCTCAGCATCTCATTTCGGAAAGTATATTTTCCAGTCATTTTATTTCTCTTTCATCCAACTTTCAAAAGTGAGATTTTGAGAAAATGTTGACGAAACATGTAAATCACGATTCTCATTTTTTCCTTTTCCCATGGTTTTCGACATTAAAAATTGCATCGCTATATTGTTCCAAATTTTTGGATTTCTATCACCTTGAAAGAAAAGAACGCTTGAATATAATGAATTTGATAGCAACGATCTCAGTGATGTCTCTAAATGGATTTCTTTGATTTTAAATAATTTACGCTATATTGATATTCACGCAATTAAATTTTTCTTACCAGAGGCCAAGTGTTCATCGCAATTTTCGCTATTATGATTGCTAGGTACAATTCGCAACAGTTGCGTTGGCTTCACACCTGCTTAGATTTTTGCCAATGGCACCCATGGTATTTATAGTCATAGACCAGACCCGGAGCAAGTCAAAAACAAGTTTACTTCCGTGTCGCCGCATAGTCAGAACAATTCTCAGAAAGACGGCATACATGTAGTTTTCTTTCTTAAAACTGCGTTCATAGTTGTTTGTGTGGCATTGTTGTGCTAGCATCGTGCCAGCGTCGTGTCAGCGCCCACGTGGAAGCCGCTCCGTATCGATCGATCGGCGGAGGTGGTGCGGCGCTAGCAGAATTGAATGGGTGCAGCATGAGGACTTAGAATTGAATTTACAAAATCCACCTGACAAAGCTTGGAGGTAACTCGATAGAAACTCGAAAAAAATAAGCTAAAGTTTAAAAACAATATCGCTTGACACATTCTTCAGAGTTTCAAAAATTGGGAAGGCTTCACGATTTGCTACTTATTTAGAGTGTCCAGTAAAATTTCGTAGTGACCCGATAATAGTGTTCTCGCAAGGTGAATAACCCATAATGCGTTCTATTTCTCATTCCGTGAAATTGTTCTTGCAAGATTGCTCTTGTTCCCTAGTTTTTTCTACTCATCAAAAAAAAACATGGCTCTGAAAGAGCTCGCATTTTTTCTCCTCTCATCTTACCATCAGCAATCTAAGCCCATTTTCTCCACTTGGAAAAGATATTTATGAGTTTGTTTTCAAGAAAAAGTTTTAGAGCTGTTATATGCAACGTATAGCCCTTATTCCATTATGTATCCACGTGCTGTTTTGTATTTTTCTTTGCTTTCGATGCCGTAAAGTTTCGTTTATCGGTCTTCTAAACCATTTTTCACGTAAAGCTTTCTTCGTGGATTGTTTAAAAAATGCCGTTCTTTGATCATGTTTTCCATTCATGATTTTTTCGAATCCCACTTTGTTATGAAGCCCCCAGTCTCTTTGCACATTTGCAGGTGCCCTGTAATTCCATTACAATAATACAGCAAAAAATTAACTAGTGGCCATTTTTCCAGAATCTCATATCAGTTAACTGCTTAGTATAACGCATTAACTACTTTGCAATATGGCGTCCACCTGTTTTACTGCTACTTCTTTGTGCATGCTTTCATTCAAATGCAAATCAGATACCGTATCCTGCTGCATCCTTATTTTTCTTATTCCCAGTAATTGATTCCTTTGATCTTATGCCTCCTCGTCTTCAGTTGTGCCTAATCTTCACGGTACTTTTTTTTGTAAAACTCGTGCAGAAACTTAGTCAAAACTCTTAGTTAATTTAGTACGATGGTACTGTATAATAAGTACTGTAGTAAATACACTGAGCAAAAGATGACATGAGAGTCTACCAATAGGTGTATCAGGGCCCGGAACAGATCATTTGGAAGCAGGGACTTCGTGGGACGAATAAGCAAAACAGATATCGTTTTTCCACAGGTTAGGTTTTCTAGTCGACGTTTCCGAATAGGGTAAAGGGGACTTCGTAAAGTTTTGCGAAAATCAGGGAGGACTTCTTTTTCAAAAAGCCAGGAAACGGATTCATGCTGGGTCTTGGATGTATATTGCTCCAAAGTAGTTTCTTTGTCACAGGGGGGCCAGTAAATTAACATACAAAATTGATTTTATTGATTTATCACTTTCTCAAGTTCCTTGACTAGAAGCAAAAAAAGATGGGTACCGCAATGTTCCCTCAAATATGATAGAAGATAATTATGACAATATTAATTTATCACTTCCCCACTAACGTCCAACTCTCAAAATCAATATGAAGTAGATATATCTCGATAGTCTGGAATTTTGAAATGTCTAAGAACTTATTTCCCGTTGTGTGACTCTGAACGATATCGCATGACTACCGTAATCTCACCGTAATCCCCCATCGATGGATTTGATTTTATGAGTAATCATTATCCTTTATAATCATTTCAAGCATACTACGTTTGCTTGTTTTTGTCTAAAATCACCACCAGTCATGTAGAGTAATTATCTCAAAAAACGCAAAACGTTGTTTGTTGAATTGCGGAAGCGGCAAAGAGTTTTCTTACAAATGCTCTGATTTCAGTGATATCATAAAAGCTCATAAAGTTTCTTTAGTTTACCCATGTATGCAGTACTCCTGCATCCTCACCCCTTCAATCATTTTAAGATGATTTTTTTGATGCTTTTCCTTGGAATGTGGCCTTGTGCAAATAAGTCCATGTTTTCTTGATTTCAGCTAAATCACTTATTTGCAGATCTCCAAAGTGAACACTTGGACGCGCACTCCGTTGTGTGCTATCTGATGACACTCTATCTATCCTTAATCGGCAAAAGTACCATTGGAACATTCCAGAATGTTGTGAGTTGTTTTGTTAACTTTCGTATACTTTTTTGATTTGCAATCTACATAACCACAGACGCTTAATTCCGATCTTTGAAATTTTTTTTTTCATTCCAACTTTTCTATGAATTTCTATGAACAAGTATCTGCTAGAGATGCCTAGAAAATTGTTTTCTTGTACTTATTCCCATACGAATAAGGTATCATATTTCTTAGTAAATTATTATCGATTAATTGCTAGAGATACCTTGAAAATGTCCCTCTTCGAGCAGATCAAAAACAGAATTTGAAGAAAACAAAAAATAAAAGGATGGTCTGTTTCACACACTTTTCCAGTCACGCATTTTTTATCAATGAAAAAAACGACAGCAACGATTTCGGAAACACTTACTATCAATCCATAGGTTTTGCACAACTATTCGGCTCACAAATGTTTTTTGACTACCAGCGTCTGTGTCTAGGATTTTCTTCTTTTGCTTTTTTGCCGCAGGAGATTTTTTTCGCGAGACAAACTTTGGTTTAAAAACAGATGTTCTAGCATAAAATGACATTTCTGTCACTAAAAGAAACTGCTGTTTATATGTGACAATGATTTATGACTGCCATAGTGATCAGAGAATGGTGTGTTGAAGATACAAGTTGCTTAGGTGATTTTCTTGAGGTAGAAAAATCAATTGGATGAGATCCTAACAGAGCTTGGCACAGTTGGCTCGATGAGCAAGCTGGATATCATTTTCGAGACAAAAAGCGAAGGGGTCTCTTGTGGCCGAAAAGACACTGAATTCATAGATAAGACACGTTTTTTTGTCGACGTTTCGTTTTTTTGGAGATTTTTTAAGATAATGGCTAAAGGTCAAAGGGGATTTTGTAAAATTTTGGGGAAGTGGGGGACTGCGTTTTTTGCATTTTCCAAAAGCCCTTCGTGCCGAGCCTTGGATCCTAAATTTTACGCTTGTGTGACTTTATATCTTTTGTGAACAAAATCCTCATTGACGATTGGCTTTAAGCTTGATTTTACACAAAACTCATTTGAAACAAATAATTCAATGTGATAACGACAGCATGGGGCACCGCTGGCCGTCGGTGTTCGAGAATTTTCTTGAACTTCTTCCTAGGTTCTCGCAGATGAGAGGGTTTTCCAATGAACAGCTCTACAAACTTTGACTTCCTTGCCAACATCACTATCAGTGAAAAAGTCACCTGCGAACTCAAAATATCACAAATACTAAAGAAGCAAGCTATCGTCAATGGGATTGTTTTTCGAGCAATATCCAATCGCCTTTTTTGATACGCTGTAGAGCAAATTTACCTGTTTAAGTATGTTTCCCCAAGTTTTTGAACCTCTTGACATATTACACACCTGTCACGAATTCGGCTCCGACAAAGTCAGATCCCCTCCCCCCCCCCCGTCCCACCCCCATCGGCTGCAATCTGCATAGCGGATTCCATCGATACACACTTATCGATGGCTCAGTGCTCAGTCAGGTGTTTGATGAAGTGACGAATGAGAAGCTCCTCACTCGGGGTGTACTTCCACACTCCGAGCATTCCTTCCTGTTTCTTGTCTGTTTTGATTCCCCGACATCGTCCTGGGAACTCTCGCCCGGCTTCACGCAAACGGAAGTGCGAACGACGTGCACTTAGAGCGATTTCTGGCTTTGATTTATCCTGTTTGAGGACAAATCTGGCCTCCAAGAATACTTTACTCCTAGATTATTTATGCTATAAATCTCTCTTCCACCAGGGGACAGCGAGTGCGCAGAGATGGTGAGTTACCCCCTATTTGTTTATGAACCAGTCAAGCTACCTGACCCAGCATATGCTTGTTCGAGTAGAGTACTTCATTAGAAACAGCGTCCATGCTAAATCTCTGCTCCCCCGATTAGTATCTGGTTTACAAGAAGGTCCTAGGAATAGGACATCTGTTTTGGCCTGGTCTTCTGATGTGGTCGCTGAGTCGAGAAAATGAACCTAGAACCCGCAAAAGTGCTACCAAGCCACGCCCATCCATCAAGCTCCGCCCACCGTACTGGAAATTGTCTGTGCCTTCGTATAGGGTTCCCAGAAATCGGATTTTTTTGTGGATTTCGCACATTTTGCATTTCACATCTGAAATCAGGGCCACGGAAAGACCTCAGAATGACAGAAACATGAAGGAAGAAAAATTGGTGGTCCTTTAACACTGCTTTTAACCTTTGACATACTATAGATGATCATCCCGCGTGAATAATTACAATCTAGTAGAATAATTGCCCAAAATCTAGGGGAACCAAACTAGCTTAAGCGCCCCGATTGACTTACCCCTTTCCATCAATTTTTGAGTGCAAAATCACTTTTTTACACAAGCTGTCATATCGTTTACTGCACTTTTGCATCATCCATCATTCAAAGTGCCTACTGGCGGTGATTACCGTGGGTTTTAGCCCAGTTTTTGACAGCTTTGACCTTCGGATTCTAGAAAATCAAACGGGATCAGGTGCTATGTAGTGGAAGAAATATCAATATGCATTCGACCTGCAATGCCCAGAATCACTACATTGACAGAAATGTGGTTCCAGCTGGTCCGTATGCAAGAAGGATCTTGAAAAGTGAAAATGCATTCATAGGACTTTAACACATTCACGACAAGGCCGACTTTTCAATTAATGCCGTTTCGGACCAGAGCCTTTTTCGCTCTGTCAAATCTACGACCCACCCGTGGGTCGTATTGTCCGAAATGATAATCTTTTTGGAAGAAATTCAAAACATGTCCCCGAGAATTTCCCCACAAGGATTATCGAAGGCGCTGACTACCAAAATGTGATTTATTTCAGTTTCTGGCCGTATACGGTAAGGTTACGGTAGTCATTCTGTACGAATCCAACATCATGGATTTTCATGAAAATTGTGTTTTGGGGGTTATCTTACGCGCTGATCACGATTGTAGTGTCCACTTTGTTCACACTTTTCCACAGTGGGACTACGGTAGCAGTACGGTGGAATTTTCTCAAGAATCAAGAAACTGATGTAAGAAGGCGGTATTAGAAATTGAGACTATCATTTTCGTAATCAGCATGCTAAAAAACCTATACATGTAAGGTTTGAGCTTCCTGGGATGAACAATGTGAAAAATTAATAAAATCAATAAAATCGATAGTTTTTGATGGGCTGACATCAGTCTTGTGTTCTCCCCGTGATTTTCGTGCATGTAAACTTGTATTTTCAAAAACAACACCACTCTGCGGAAATTTTTAGCTAAAGTCTGTGCCTTATCTCCGTCTACGGTGTACCTATCGTGACAATATTTCACAGTATCCCGAACCCGGACCACTCTGGCTGGAGCTTCGCCAAGGTGTCCCCAATCATGTGCCAGAACACCCCGTAGAATTCCATCGTATATTGGCAAAGCTAAAGCTTCAGGAATCTTACGACCCACCGGTGGGTCGTATTGTCCGAAACGGCAGAACACGTACGACCCACCGGTGGCTCGTATTGTCGTGAATGTGTTAACAGAAATGGTGCATGAGTGTGCTCCAGCAATTGCGCCCGTTTTTGTTACTGGAGCAATTTTTCAATCATGTAGCATAGCTCACGGTATTCTCCGCACTTGTCTTTTTTTTTGTTCGTTTGTGAAATAAAAAAAATGTCGAATTAACGCCTTTGTTATTGAGCTCTATATGAATCAAATGATTCTTCTTTATATCATGTATATAAGTTTTCCGAATTCTCGATGATGGTGCGGGTGAAACACAATTTCTCATAATTTTTGTTTCTTTTTTTCTCCTTTGTTCGTCTCATTTTGACCTACAAACTGTCATTGATGGATTTATTCGGCATGTTGATCACAGTCATAACATCCGCACTTTATTGATTTTTGAAGCATACTTTACCTTACTTAATATTAGATCAAATTACGGTAACGGTATTTCAAAAAATAGAGCTATCAGAGTATCCTTCCTGATTTTTTTTTGATTTTCGTGTTGAAAATTAGCTCTCAAGTGAGAAACTTCAACTTTAATCAAAATATTCTCAAATGGAGACCATAATTCATTTCCCCAATACCACAGCATTAACACGTAAGTTTTTTGAGTAAATTTTTGATGAATTTTTAATCTTGTATCCTTAGCTTGTTTTTCGAAGATTATTATACTCATACAGAATTGTAATCGTTGCAAAAAGAAGTCCGTTGTGGCCTACTTTGTCCCGATTAAAGCGTGAAACACAATCCGCACCCGAGTTTTTCCTTTCTTATAATGAAATGTACTTCAAATACCTCTTTCTATGCGTTCAAGAGCCTTACATTCGATACCAAATGAGGCTAGAGACAGCTCTATGCTGCTGTGGAACTGCACGATCTTCCACTCACTTCGATGTAATCCCTTTTTTTGATTTTTTGATTTCGTGAAAGACAACCCTAACATTTCATTTCCTCGTTTACTACTAGAATTTTAGTAAATCTTAAATTATAAGTTTTTTTTTGTTTTCGTTTTTCACATTCAAGCGTGATTCTTTTGCATTTATGGCAATTATTCAAATTTTCAAATAGTCAGTATATTCAAACTGCTGGCATTCTTCATCTTTTGATCACTTTATTGCAATTTTTTGAAGTCCTGGTCATTGCAGTGTATAGTCGAGTCATTCCATACGATCATGTATGTATTGCACGCAACGTCCATCTTTGGCGTTTTCATCCTGGATTTGCAATCGCAAGAACGCAAGAGACTGATCGTTTTCAGCGGTTACATCACTTTATGGAAATTGATGCATAGAGAAGAAAAAAACATGAAGAAAACAACAAAAACACCTATCTAAAGGGGTGTTTCTTCCCATTTTCCCAGATAGGGACGCCAAAAGTGGACAGTGCGTGCAGTGACACACATGATCATATGAGATGATTGGACTGTAGCTCAGTGCAAGAAATGGGGCCTTGAGTCAAGATTTTAATTTGACGATAGCTTCCCACTTCTTTACAACTGCTGTAAGATTGAAAAGTTGAGTTTATAGGCTACTTACATGTTTTTAACGTTTTATATATTAGACAATCTGGCTCATCAGAGCTTACTAGCCAAATAATAGGTAATTAAGATCATAATGTTTTATGTCTACGGGGAAGACTTTCTTTCGAAAGCTCATTGGTTATTTCACTCTTGATCGCTGTGGTTTTGTCATTTGGTTCTAATTTCTGTTCCAGTCAAGGTACTAACAACGTAATCCAGAGAATTTGATCCCTGCAGACATTTTATGTGAAAACGCGACAATTTGTTCAACGTAATCTACTGTGCTGATCACTTTATTTGCTAATATTACAGAGAGAAGCGAAAATTATTCTCTAACAGCTTCGAAATGTACGAAAAAATCAAAGTTATCAGCGATCAATTTAATTTTTTGATATCGTTTACTCAGCTCTTCTAATTCTTCAAATATGGGTTCCTCTACACTCTTCTATGCTGCATTCAATTCAGTAGTCTGTATCAACCAACAATCACAAAATATTCGCTATATCAGAGCTCCTCACATAGACTAATTGAAAACTGAAACTTTGAACTATGAGTGAGTTGAACAAAAGAAATCAGTCTCTGTTCATCAGTAAAGCCTTTATTATTTTTTGACTAGGTAAACATTACGATCAGCATGTGCGGAACTGGAGATATTCGTAGGTGGCTGACATATGAATGACTAATTGAAATTATTAATCTAGAAAGCTGAGTTTTGATATTATTTGACGACCGAATGATAAAAACTGAGTAGTGCAGACTTAAAATGGAAATAACTTTTACTGCTGCAGAGAACTGAACTGCTGTATCTCTACTAGTAATAAAACCGAATTGTGTTTTAGGATCCATCAACAGTTACTCCACCAGATCAATCCGCATCTAGTAAGTAACGGATGAATTATTTTCTTCTTTAAAAAAGTAATCGTGATGTGTTTAGGTCCGCAATATACAGAACCCGTTCCGTCGGCGAGTGAAGACACGAAAGCGGTTGGTGTAGCGGTAACTCCTGCCATAGAAGGTAAGGACTTGGCTCGTGTGGATGATTCATTATGTCCGATTAGAATTAACCTGAATTCTGCTAAAAAAACCAGTTGCCTCAATTCTTCATCTCTGACCTAATTTTGGGTATTTCTAATTTTGAGAATTTTTTATTTGATTTAGCACAAGCTGTCGAACAAGCAACGCAATATGTTGTACGACAGGAGAGTATCCCCGCGGAAGTTCCGCCGGTTCAACCTCAACAACCCCAAGCTGTTCAACCACAGCCACAGCCACAAGTGCAAGCACCACCTCAGCCACACCCACAGACCCTCCAGCCTCCAACGCAATGCTGTAAGTATAACTAATAGTTGTTAATTGCTGCGCGTGTCAACAACATAAGTGCGGAAGAATTGGATGTGGAGCGCATTGTCCCGAGTTTTGCGTTCCATGACCATTTTTCACGCGCAAATGTTGTCGACACCGCAAGAACAATAAGTGGATCGTCATTTGTTGCACCTTGGCAGATAAGAGCTGTATGTATCTCCCATCTTGATCGGGCCTATTTTTTTATCACTAAAGACAATCTCCCGATCGGGAGCAGCTGCTCAACCCGATCGGGTAGCATCATCCCGCATCGCAGTTTTGGGGTGCTGCCTGGTCGTTATCAGTAGTAGCGCTCCATTCGCTTTTTTCATGCGTTTCATTATTCAAATCTAGGAATATGACTTTGACTTGACTTTGACAATCACTTTCTACCTTAAAGAAAAGAAAAAAAACTTGCAGAAAGAGAGGGAGAGAGAAAGAGAGAGAGAGAGATAGAGAGAGAGTGGAGCTATGTGAAAGAAATCAAATGAAAAAAATTAATTTTGTCACTCTCAGTATGCATCAACAAATGCACTTGATATGCGTCAACACGGTTGCTGACGTATCCTATCTCATCCGATTGGGGCGTTTCTCTCTTCGGGGTAAGCCGTATCGACCTAATCGGGTGCCTCACTTGATTGGGAGATTCTAAATTCTGTATCAGAAACAAGTCTTACATTTTGCCACTCTTATTAAACGGAATGAATCCGAGCGCGTGCATGCGCGGCGCCCATAAATAATGGGCCAACGACCTGATCAGGAACACTCACCCGATCAGGAGATTGATACATATGCCTCAGAATTACGAGTTTCACATAGTGCGATTAGTATTACGACGGGGAAGATTACATTGCACGCGCGTCTACAAGCAAGTAGTAAATGACATAGAGGAAAAACTGTAGTATCGGCAGAACAGAACACATATTGCGCTTCAGCAACGATCCCATCCACTTCGTCAACATTGGCTGCACCGGATTCCGCTCCCAGAGCGAAGAAACCGCATTTACAGACTAGTGCTGAACATTCTACTGAAGTATGTTGCTTTTCAGTATTTCTATTCTTAAAATGTGCAAAATTGTCATTTATATTTACCTTAGACTGAACAGGTGCGGTCCAGAAAGTCATCTTCATCTAGTCAGAAGTCGAGTAAAAGCAGAAGAGCACGCAAAGAGGAGATGACGAGAGAGTTTGAGAATTGTCTTGAGCAGGTTAGGAAATTTTTACCACACAATTTTTTCAGCTGCAGAACCTGAGGAACCTCCAAATTTAGGTCTTGACATGGCTTTTGGAAGCAGAAGAAGAGCTGAGTCTCCTAGAAGAGGTAGACGAAAGCGACTTGAAAGTCGTTCGGAAACAATTCAAAGACTTCGAGAATTTTATGTCGTCATTAACGGAGAGTCAAGACACGGTCGGAAGGGTTTTACACAGGTTTGTTCGGCTCTGTATTTGTGACAGTCACAAAATTTTTTTGGGAGGGCGGAAAGGAAGAGGGCGCGACAAAAAATTCGCCAGATGAGTAGGGGTAATGTACGTCATACTTCTGAAAAAAAACTTGTGGGATTTTTGTTTGACTTTTTCATTGCAATTCTTGGTTTTATGCGTTTTTTACTGGTCAAAATTTTCATTCTCAAGGACATTGCGACTTATTATTTTTGTAAAACGTTTTTTGATCCCTTGAAGATAAAGAAATTGAGTTTTACAATCTATAACCTCTTCATTTCGCTAATGATTTTCGTTGTACGCTTGCGATTTTATGATGTGAATACTCAAAAAAGAATATTCTCGCAAATTCTATCGAAGTGGACAAGAACTATTTTTGAGGTAGCAACTTCCATTTTCGATGAAGCTAATACAAGATTTCTGATTTTCGAAAATCATTTCTCGCTGTTCCGTTGCACTTTTTTGCAAGAACTTGCAAAACGCTTGACATCTAAATTTTTTCGACCTTTCGGCCTATTTTCATATTTACTCACCTTTCCTGACTCACATCCTGCCCTTGTATGTTCATTTTATTGAATCAGTACAAATATAGGGGCCAACTCCTTTGTGGGAAATCCGAAACCGATGAGGAACGTCAAGCTATCGAGGGTCAACTACGGGTTGTAAATGGTCGCTGGGAAGAGCTTCGTGAACTGGCAATGCAGCGACAGAATGCTCTTCAACTTATTCTGAATCGGTTACAAAATCAGTGAGTCAACAGCTTTCGAAGAAATTGAGGTTACGGTATATTCATGTGTGTTTAGGCAACTGGCAAACATTGAAAAATGGCTAAGCGGAGTGGAATTCGAGATGACTTCGTGTGAGCCATTGGCCGACAATGAAGAAGCTGCACTTCGTCAGATCGAAGCGCATACGAAGTTGCAAGCAAAAATTCATGCGTTTCAAGAAACTATCAATGATCTCAGCTCATTTGTTGCTGTGGTGGGTCGTACAGAAAAATTCTGTCTTGTTTAATTTACATGATTATTGAAATTTTTTTTTTGAAAAGCTGCCGTATCATGCTCTCGTTTTGTAATGATGTTTTATTTACGTATGCTGACTATGACTAAATTTTTTGATTTAGGTAGACGAAGGCGAATCTTCTGATGAACGGATTGGCGCGCTTGAACAACGTCTTCAGTTTATTGGAGAACGTTGGCGAACGGTTTGTGAATGGGCTGAAGTGAGGTGAGCTGAGCCACCTACAGTAACCTACAGTAGAATGAGCCAATGGCAGTGAAGACACAATGCGGTTCAAAAGAAAAAGTTCTTGCTGCGAAAGTTCTGCTTTTCAGTCGCTCTGACGTCAATTTGCTGCGGAAGTCCCGCATTTTGGAGCGTGCGTTTCTCAATGGTCAAGAAAGTGCACGCTCCAAAATGCGGGGTGCTGCAAATTCTGCTTGTCCTGCGGAAGTTCCGGTGATCTGTGAATTGTCCGAGAAGGGAAACAACGAAGGAGTAACTAAAAAATCGCAAAGTACAGAAAGGGGCTTTATAAACTCGAGCTGCGGTTGTGCGCAAATTTTATGAAAGAATAGTGCAATTGCACAAAGCGACACAAATGGGGGACTACCGTAATCCTGGGCCCTGGCCTACTCTGATTTTTTCTTTTCAGAGCTTCGCATCTTGATGGACTTGCTGAGCTCTGCGCCCATACGGCTGAGGTTTTCAGTAGGCTCTGTGATTGGTTAAAGCAGAGGGAACATGTGAGTCACTGTAGCTTTCTTATGTTCTACATTATATTTTCTTGCTCTAGGAGCTGCTTGGCCTAAAATCCGCTCACCACCTTGAGGATCCCGAGCAGATTTCTGAGCAGGTTCATGCTTTCTTTATGTTAGACTTTGTCCAGACTACGTCTAGAGTTGGCCCTGTGCCATTCCGTGTCAGCACCTTGCTGTAACCTGTATGAACGCCTTTTATTGATCGATTCACGACGACATCCCACACACGGTGCTGGCACGGCGCTGAAACGGCGCGGCACGAGCCACTTTGGAACGCAGACTTACATATCTACTACTCTTTAGGTTAAAATGCTGCAAAACGCCGAAGCTGCGCTGGAAGCCGAGCACAGTTCTTTTGTAAGACTGTCACAGTTGAGCTGCGAGCTGGTCGCCCGACTGGATAAAGGCAACGGAGCTGCTGCGAACGCTGTCCGACGACAGCTGGATACCGTAACCCAACGATGGGATAATCTAGTCGCGAGAATCGAGGAGCATAGCAGAATGGTAAGTTTACGCTGTTGGATGAACGGGTTTCAAGTAGCCATCAAAGCGGGGAAGGGGGGGGGGGGAGGGAGGGGGAAGAGTGGGTGGAAAACGATCAAGAGGCGCGGTTTTTATGGAGTCCATCAACTTGGCAGCCCATTTTCGAACTGTGGGAGTCTTTTGATGATACCAAACGAAGTGTCTTAGCTTACTAATTATCCAAGCTATCATTTGCTTTTAGCGGCTTTTGGTGAAAACTTGGATAATAAAAATAACATAGATAGGAATAATCATACATGTCTTGTTGAAAATTTGAATTACTCATAGACCATCATGAAATACTAAAAATTCTATTGTTCATCTGGCAATCAAAATCGCGCCTCTTGACATAGACCCGCAGAATGGGTGGAGTTGACATTAGCTCTGAAATGTTAGAGAAAGAAATAAGAGGTGTTGACATTAACACTAAAATTTCGAAGAACAATCACAGATTAACTGAGGAGAAAATTGACTTGCTACGAGTCACATAAGCTTGTTTCGCTTGTCTTTCCGTTTTTCGGTTAGTTTATAGGCTATTATTTCTAGCGCACTTTAACGGTTTCACTTCCGATTTCGAAATTATGGGTGGGATAGCCTTTACAGCATACCCGTTCGTTCAGCATTTACCATGCAACTCCTTTCCTCCCCTTCATTCTTAGTATCCTTCTATTCTCTCGTTTTTCCTATAAGGGAAAGGGGGCTGATTTGTAGGTTGAGAAGAAGACGAACATATTTTCAAACCTTCCTTGCAGATACTACATACTGCTATAGTTTTATTTACAGGAAACATTCACTTTTTATATAAATTGGCAATGTTGCAAAATGATAAAGCTTTAATGATTATGTTCGCAAATGCTCATCGCTTTTGTTCCAAATAGTTTTATAATAGGCAAGAAATTTGGCAAGAAATCATTTATATCAATTTCGCGATTCGATTGAGTTGACCATAAATCTGCTCTATGCACTGTGTATTTTGGTGTTTACACAGACAAACCACTTTGCGGCACTTTTGACTTTTCCTAAAACAAAACAAAATCCTTCAAGAAGAACTAAAGGATGGCGAGCTATGTGCATGAGATCTTTTCTGCTATGTCCCTCTCTTCTCTGCAAAATTTATAAGTTGAACAATATGTATTTCTTGAATTTGAATAGTTTCTCGAACATTGCATCTAATATATAAAAAATCGTTAACTCAATACAAAAATTTGCAAATGGCGGGAAACCGGGTGGCGGTCCCGAAGCGAACGCTCTTCCAAATAGCACCTTTAGATTACTGGTTGAAGTGAAAAAAATATGATGACAGTGCAGTCCATTTTATGAAGAAGAAAAAATCTTAGGTTTGAAAACTTCAAATTCTGGCAAACAAACTCAGAATTGACACTGATTTTTTTTTCTAATTTTAGAAAGGTCTCCTTCTATGATAATGCTCAAGCAAGCAATTTCATGATCGCTACTTTGTCAATGAATGAAAAATTTTATCCTGGCGGTCACATCAACTTAGCCATTCCGTCTCTTATTATTCAAAACAGTTCACGACTGCTTTCAAGGGAAAAAACAAACGTCTGGAAAAGCAAATGGTAGCTGATTTTGGAAATTCCTTATTTCTAGCTATTCGTAATTAGTTTAGAGAAAAACGCTAAACATCTGGACGCTAACTGGTTGCTGATATTAGAACATTGCTGTAACATAAAACATTCCCCTTGCACTTTTCTATTTTTCCTGCCTAATTGGCGCTATTTGAACATGTGCGAGTGGGGAAAATTGTGGTGGTGTAGGAAAAAAGTAAAGCAATGGGGAACACCTGTCAGATTGGGTATCTGTCAGCAATACTTTTTACTAGAATGAGTAATTTCCAACCGGAGTGTAGATTGCGTTGTAAGCACCACTACACGTTAGATTAGAAAAATTATCTCTCCGCTATTGGCTCTATCCGTGAATTTTTTCTTCTTTTGGTCACAGTTTTTGTTTTCTGTTTTGAAAATTGTGCTATGTAGTGTACTATAATCTCCTCCTTTTCGGATATTCTCTCGAATTCTCGAAAATACCAACACTCCTTCTTTTTCTTAACATTTTCCCGAAATCTGGAAGATATTTGTGTCCACTTTTTGCAAACTTAAAATGTTGCGTTTATTTGTTCCACTAGATCCCCTCTTTTAGGTCGAATAAGTTTTTTTGCGTTGTTTTCACTAGAAATTAATTTTTCAAATCTCGGAAGCTTGCATACATCCGAATGGATAAATGCATAATTGAATCAATGAGGAAAAAAATTGTTGCATTTCACCCTTATTTTTGCTTCAATCTAAACAATAATTGACTTAGCGAAAAAACGTTTGTAGATTTTTTACTTCGCAGCATCAGATGGGGAAAAAGTATCACAGACATTCTTGTAAGCAAAATTTAGAAATTGGTATGAAGTTGGCAGCTTTCCAGAATTTTTAAAGAAATGAGCAAAAAGTTAGAGTTGAGTTAAAAATTACTTTAACTAGCAAAATTTGAATATTTGTGGTTTTTTACAATTATTATCGGATGAAGAGATTTGTAACAAACTCTGCGTATATCTAAATCAAAAAATGGATAAAAATCCATAAATTGGTTTCAAAAATGCAGATTTTTTCATTTTACTGGCGACAAAAAAGTTCTGAAATTTATATAGCACCTCAAAGTAAATAAGAGTAATGGATTATTGAAAATTGTGCGCAGCTTTTACAGTTTGAGATGAATTTCAAAAATAGTCAAATTAATGAAAATCAAATAATTGCAACTTTTCTCACATTCTAAAGCAATGCAAATATTCAGAACATTATAAGTAATTCTGTGAATAAATGATCAAAAATAGTAATAAGTCAGTAGAAAATATTAGCTTTTTTGCACTTTATTTTTGACAGGAAAACTTTATAAACTCGGAGAGTGTTTCAAATAGTTCTAGCTAAATAAATAATTAAAGATTTTGAAAATCAATCATTTAATAAAATTTTATAGCTTGTACAAAGTGGCAAAGCAGACGTGCGACAATTTGCGTCTCCTCTTCCTGCTGGTCCATCGGCAATCGAACAAAACATCAAAGCGGATCGCGTTGTGAAACCGAACGAGGCCTGTTTTTTTCTCGCAATAAAAGTTTGATTGGTTCTTTCGGAAAATTTTCTGTTTCAGTTGTCAATGAAAATAACATCGTTAGAGGACCATGCGGCGGATCCAGGCTCGGGAACATCGGGTACCGACACGGATGAAGCTGCTAATCAGGTGAGTGGAAGGAAATTGTAGAAAATTCCTTAGAAATTGCATTTTTTTCATTTTAAAGCTCGTGGAACGTTTTCTAAAACATGTGGATAAAATGACAACTGAAATGGAACCTCTGCAAGCGTGGACTACTACTTTTTCTGTGTCCAAAAAACCTGAACAGGTACGGTGCATCACCTTTTTTCTGCCCCAAAACCCCTAAAAAGCGTATTTAGGTGCGAAGAATGATTAGTATCTGTCAAGAAAAGCTCATGGAAATAAAAGACCAAGAGGCAAAGGTGAATCGGCTGCAACTCGAACTTGAACACATGCACTTGAGCGATGACCTGACGGCTGCGCAATTAAAACTAGCCAACGATGCTTTCGAGAAGTTCGCCAAGGTGAGCACAGCACATGCCGCGTGGTCTTTTCTTTCTCATTTGGTTCATAATCTCTCATATTCCTTTGCTTTTGTTCAAAAAAATCTGGTGAGCTCTCAAGCGTACAATCCAGTCTGACTAATCTCTGTGGGGGGTTTTTTTGTTGGGAAATCTCGATTTTTGCTGTAACAGCTTCCTCCATTCCTTTTTTGTGGTATGTAACATCTAGCCTGTTTGAGATAAGTCATTGAAATTTAAATCAAATTCTCGATCGACTAAGATTTCCTATTTATGTCTAACGCCTTCCACAAATGTTCTTAAAAATCCTGTTTCAAATAATTTCTGTATAACAGATTGCAGAAAGGTAGTCGCACCATTTTCAAAAATTTATAAGTTTTTTTTCGGCCGATTTGCTTGTTTTTCTTTTTTTTCTTCTGCAAAGAGCAAATCATGCTTTTTATAAAAGTAAATGTATTAGCTTTCTATTGAGCATAGATAAAAGCGGTGGAAAAAAATTACCCAAATTTTTAATTGTTTGTGTTCAGACGTAAAAAATCTGAAATTTGCTATAAAAATTGTGGCAACTGATATTATAGGTTTTATTACCTATCTTTACTGAGCTTGGGCTGATGGGTCTCCGTTGAAAGTTATGATTTCCGAAAAAAAAAACAAGTCAAAAAATCTAATTTGCAATTTTGCACTGTTCGTTTAGAACTTGAAGACGGTCAATCAGCACAAACTTTGCTCAATCAGAAAGACCGAGTTATAAATTTATAATACCATTCTGCACCAATTTTTGCCGCAAGTTTTCGATTTTTTACGACCAAACACACAAAAAACTTCTTACCGCTTCTATTTATGCAATGTATGCTCAATAGAAAGCCGCTAAGATATTTTTTTGAAGAGCTTAATTTGTTCTCAAGAAAAAATGAAAACAAGTAAATCGATTGAAAAAATCGGAAGTTACAAACTTTGGTGCGAACGAACTTCGGGACAACCTAATTTTTGCTCCGTCTCGCTTACTACATATTTTGTTCCAAACCAATTCAGTTCTTAGTTTCTTGAAAATACAATAATAATTTGAATAATTATAATTACTATCAATTATTAATATAATTATAATTAATACTATCAATTATTAATATAATTATTGTTAATATAATACAATAATAATTTGGATAATTATAATTACTATCAATTATTAATATAATTATGATTATAATTTGTGTCTCAAACAAATTCTCTTCATAAATCCCACTTCTAACAAATTTATTTTAAAATTCCCGTTTCAAACAAATTTACTACATAATTTATTTCTCAGGCAAATTCACTTGACAATTCCTGTTCTAGACAAATTCATTCCATAATTCCCGCAAATCCATACAATTTTCCGTTTCACATACATTATGAAATTTCCTTTATCCCTTTTCCAGTAGTGTGTGGACATTAATTCAGCTACATGTTAATTGACAATTGATTCGTTGCTTTGCTTACTTTTTCTTTGCACGTTTTCTTTTTTCTTTTTTTTGCTTGAATCCTTCAAATTATCCAGTTTTCTTTGTAGGGCTGGGCTCGAATCGTCACGAAAATCAGCGAGGCGATGAACGTGCTCACCGGCCATGACGAAAGCGACGAAGAACATGTGGTAGCGAAAGGAATCGAGCAATGGATTGAGGGTTGCGATAAGTGGGTTTGCAAACATTACGCCACTTGACATTAGCTATGCACTTATGTTTTTCATGCAAAATTAGCTCTTTGGCGGTTGATTGGAAAAGTAGTGTGAGTTCCAAAATCAACAATCAAATTATAAAAGCGCTAAATCTAAATTTCCCCATAATAAGGAAAGAATATGGGGGAGGGACCAAGCAGTTACAGTGAAAAATTCGTTTAAGGAAGGATGTATTCTATATGTATAAGCACACTTATTTCTGTTAGTTGATTCTTCGTTTATCCATTCTCAATCATGCTAATCTTTGATTGTCTAGTTATCGTACTGGAGCAGTGTGTGATTACGGTAGGTATACGGTAAAATCTCAACGCGCTTCAGATTGGATACTTTCGCATAATCATATGCAGCAATTATTACATTTTTCTATTTTATTTTGCTTATCACAATCTAAAATGGGTTTTTTGGTGTTTTCTCGACATACCTAGAATCCTCCTAAAAATCTCTAATTTCAAATTTTTTCACCCATGAGGTTCCCTGTTGAGCCACATCGCTCACGGTATCACACGGCAGTAAGACCGTTTCATATAGTCAAGTAGAAAGTGCGAACAAAGAGACGTGAAGAAGAACTGAGTGGGAAAGTTTGAACAGTGATGCTGCATCATTCCCACCCCCCCCCCCCCTCCCCCTCCGCCTGGGCAAAATTGCTGTCACGAAATAGTATTTTGGCAAACTGTTGTATGCTTTGTGAAAACAAATCCGTTCCTTAAACGTCTATTTTTTCTTCTATAACCGCTTTCTGGTAGGGTTTGATCAAGGCAAGATTTATCGAATGAATCACAAATTTTTCACCGTGAGGGGGGGGGGGTGGAGAGAAAGTAAATACAGCCTAACAATATTTTTCAAGCGTACAAAGTTTTTCAAAGTCAGCTGTTGGATTTCATCACCTTGCACTACTTTGAAAAAAAGATGGCTAATGTTACTTTAAAAGCTTTTCATCAGAACTTGACCTAGCGTAGTGCGGTTTAACAAGTTTTACGGCCAGTATATAGTGTATTGCAGTGCCGACAACATTTGCGCGTCAAAAAAGGCCATGGCGCGCGAGAAATTGCGCGTTCTAAGGCCAGCATTTGCGCGCAAATGTTGTCGGCACCGCAGTAGCACTACATTATGATTCTTTAGTCATGCTGTTCAATATGTGTCTGTGATTGAATTTTTTGTTTCTATCAAATTCATAAATGGAATAATTTGTTGTTTGTATTAGGCTCTCCCAAATTTAATTTTTGGAAAAAGTTTTCTTGCTCCTCATTCCCATTGCTTCGGCAGCTGTATCCGGAAAAAAAGCACGACAATCGCTTCTTTCTCGTCATAAAATCACAAAATAGTCATGGGAAGGACGTTGCTGTGTGCATGTTGAAAAGAGAGAGGGAGAAGAATAGAGAAAGTTATTTTTTTTGTTTTTCCGCCCGTGTCAGGCGTGGTAACACCATGTGGTTAGAGATAGAGGATGAAGAATTACATCTTCAGAGTACTGACCGAGTTAGCACGAGCGACAAAAGACGAACGAGAAAAACGATTAGCTAAGTTACAACAACAATTGGAAACGCAGGTTCTGTTCTAATTTCACTCACAGCTGATCGACTGGTATTTTTCTCTTTCGCTGAAATTCTTTTCTTTTTTCAGCAAACCAATCTGAGCTTTATTGAAAAGGATCCGCTCAAGAGAGCAATATTGAAGAAAGGTCTGGAGATCGTCAAAAAGCGAATCGATGGCCTTAGTGAGGTATGGTTGTAGTTTTTTGGATACTGTATGTAGTGCTCCTGCGGTGAAGACAACATTTGCGCGTCGAAAATGGCCATGGCGCGCTAAACACAAAAAACATCTGCTTTTCACGCGCGAATATTGTCGGATCGCAGGAGCTTTACGTTGATTGTATGTTGAACCACCTATAAGGTCCAGCAGATTTTTTTGGATATTAGATGCTTCTGCGGTGAAGACAACATCTGCGCGTCAGAAATGGTCATGATCCTCAAGAAAATAAAAAATTGCTCGAAAGTTGTTTTTTTGGCGCAAATGCTATCAGCACCGCAGGAGCGCTATGTGGGAGACGGTCAAGAGGCGCGATTTCTTTGGCTGTCACCAACTTAAAACTCTAGTTTAGTGCTATGCGAGTTTTTAAAAATTACCAGATAAACTGCATTAGCTTACTATCTGTCTGAAGTACTACTTGCTAAGTTTCATGGTTTTTGCTCTGAATCGGACTAAAATATTTACGAATTTGTTCTGAAATGCATTTTCATGAGTTTTTGACCTTCAAAATTGTTGTTTTGAATTTCTTCTCGAGTATCAAGATTGAAGAGCTCATGCAACTACTTAATATATCTTCTTCTAAATCTCATATACTTTTAGAAAGTTGCAAAACACTTATTATGTGTTATTTGTTGTCCACCTGGCAATAAAAATCGCGCCTCTTGACATACACCCGCGCTATGTCACCTTTATTGAGAGTTTGTGTGGTTCGACAAATTTTGGTATCAAAGTGCTTCTGCGGTGCCGGCAACATTTGCGCGTAAAAGCAGCTGTGGCCCACAAAACTTGAAAATATGCGCTCCAAGGCAGTTTTTATGCGCAGATGTTGACGACACCGCAGGAGCACTATTGCTATCGTCCATCCAGCGATTTGTAATTAGCGAAATTTTCAAAATTTGTTGCATTGCTTGAATTGTAGGAACCGTCCACCTCAAAACTTGAAAGCGACTTGAACGCTGAATTGGAAGGAGAGTGGTGTACGGTTGGCGACGTAGCTGCTCTGGACAAAGAGGTGGAAAGAGCCGAAAAAGCCGTGGAAAAGGCTCGTAATAGTAATATGGGAAGCGAAATGGTTGAAAAAGCAGAAACGAGGTAGAATGCACTGTTGTCTATAAAATATGACCGTTTATATTTTTCTGTTTACAGAAAAGCAGAAATGATGGAGCGGCGGCGAGCAACCTTGGCAGCGTTGCAAAAAATGAAATCGGCTGAGGAAGGAATAAAAAGGTAATGAGAAGAGATTGCACTCAGAAGCTATTGAGTCGTGAAGGGAAACACAGGATAGTGTAATAATGTGCATTAGAAGCTCCTACAATTACTAAAACTAGAAAACTTGGTAGTCGCGCTGTATGAAAAAAAACCGAATTGACTTTTTTGCAGGATTGAAAATTGAAAAAAGAATTTGAAAATTCGAAATAGCCCTCCAAATTAGACCTCATAAAGGATGTTGATATCATTGTCGAAAAAAATATTCAAGTTGTGCTTCTCATAAAATCTCCTGTAACTAGTTATATTGCTATACATGTTATAAAAAAATAGAAATATCATTTAGTCAATTATAATTAGTTCATGGTGCCACATACGATCACCACAGATAAATACCACAAGTATTTGTGTACTATAGGCTTGCTGTCTATATTGTGAAAATTAGGAATGATTATGATGTTTTCAATATTGCACTTACATTCCTGTTATGAAAAATGTGAAGTGGAAAGTTCGAGAAATTATCAGTGGGACATTTGGTCTGTGCATGGCACGGCCCTGGCACAAATGTGACAGGTAGGGCTGGACTTTGTAACAGAAGCAGCGCGGATGCTGTACGGCGTCTGAGTTGTGACTCGGTTTTCATCTAAAAGGATATTTCAATGACCAAAAGCTTGGTCGTGAATGGCTGACTTTTCTACATCAAAGTAATAACCCGTGAAAATGGTCTGACGTTTGAATGTTGCCATTTGCTAAAATCAACACTTGAATAACGCTTTTACCTTACCTTTTACCCTCCGCCTCGTATTCTACTCCTTTATTAACCCATCGACGACGATGTGGACCACCGTTGGCCTAAGCACTATTTGCCGCCAGGGACGATGTGGACTACCGGTGGCCCACACCCCTTGCAAAATCATATCCTTTCCAGGTCTAGTATTTTTTTTCCAGAGTTCAGCAGTTTTCTCCAGTTTTTTGCATTCTTGAAACCTGCAGACTTCGTCGTCCAAGAAGATCGCTGTAGTTGTTCACAAAACATTTTTACATTAAATAAGCACAAAACTTTCCCGCGTCGCAATTGTTGTGCAAAATCGCGTCGTCCCACCCGCCATGCAAAATTAGGCGTCGTCGTCAATGAGTTGAAGAATCTTTGAAAAAAAACTTCGGAAGTAAAAAGCTTGGCTATGCCAAATCGACATAGGTGATCCTGGGTCACTGGCTATGTGCAACTTACTTTCATTCATACTGAATATATCAATTTCTCATTATTTTTGTTTCAGCATAGCCGCATCGGTAGAAGCGACGAGCAGCAGCGACATTTCGCTGTCGGGTACGATCGTCGAGCTGAAGCACGCACGTGCACGTCTTGCATCCTACGAAAACCTCAAAAAAGAAGCCGAAAGAGCGGCCGAGAAGATGCTGGCGCTCGATGACAACGTGCCCCAATCAGTCAGTCAACCGCTGTTCAGCTTTTTATGCCCTCCATCAGGTTACAGCATTTGGAGAAAAATGTTGCAGATCACACAATCGACGCGCAATCGCATTCGGGAGCTGGGAGATCGATGGCGAGAGTTGGAAAACGCAATTGAGGATCACTTGAGTTGCGCCAGGAAAGAACAGAAACGATCCGTGCAGAGTACGTGATCACGTAGTTTGTTTTACTACTGTAGAAACAGCTGTCATGCTGTGTTTACTACATTTCTGCAGAACTGGTAGCTTAGAAGTAGTTTGCTGCAGCAACCCATCTTTCATACGGGGACGGGAAGGGGGCCGGTGGGGTATTATCATGCCACCTAGCTCCTTATTGCCGTTCTTTTTTTGTATGATTTTCCACCTTCCATTTGAACTCCTATATGAAAATCGGGGATCGAGTGGGAGATTCTCAGCTAAGCCAAACTGCTCCTCAATCCCTTTCTCTAAGCTTGTGCTTTCCTTGGGAGATTCTCCCTCTTTCCACTTCCCATATGGGAAAGAAGCAGGGTAGGGGGGAATCTCTTCTGACACGTATCTTACCACTTTTCACTTCACCTTTCGACTTATCAATCACTCCACTCTAAAGCTTGTGATTTTGCCCGCGATCCGCGATTTCCTCTTGACTGTGGGAATAGAGGAGTGGAGAGATAGACCCTTAGCACCGTTCACCTTTTCATTTCCTATTCAATCTTGAAACTTCTGATTTGCCTAAGACCCCAACTTTTCTTGCTTCACACGTGGGAATGTAAACAGGTGAGAGGAAAATCGTCACTGGCAAATCTCTTAAACTTTTCAGCTTGTTAATCACCCAACCCTAAAGCTTGCATGCTAAGATCTCCACTCTTGTTTCCCATATGGGGGGACGAGAGGTGAAAGAGACCTTCACTACCAAGTTTCTTATCACCTTTCGTCCCTTCCCCATCAGTCAATCCCAAAACGTATGTTCTTATCCAAATGATCTTATCCAAAGTCTCCCAAACTTCTCTTGCTTCCAATATGGAAGTAGAGAAGTGGATGTTCCAACCAGTCCCTTACCACCTTTGGTTAGGTTGACATTGCTAAAGCTTGGGCGAACTGTACAACTTACACGTTTACCCAAACTTCCTTCGAACTCTTCGAAAATCCCATATGGAAATAAGAGAGGCAGGGTATTATCACTGGCATGTCTTTTACCATCCGCATATTAATGCACAAGGTCTCCGAACTCCTTTTGCCTCCCGAATGGGGATAGGAAGGAAAGAAAAGGGAATTCTGTCTTGCCTGTAGCCTTGCTAATCACTCAAACCTAAGGGTCCGTACCAGCCAGTCTCTTATCGTCTTCTAATATCTTGCCAATTATCAAATCCTAAAACTTAAAGGCAGCATTCAGGCAAATCTGGACATATGGGGATCTCACGTAGATAGTGATTTTGGGGCTCTAACTAAGCCACTGCCAAACCGGCAAATCAGTTAGGGCTCTAACGGCGAAGGTGTTCCCCTCGAAACTGGACCAGCATCGTATTTTGCATGGATTCATGGCGCAACCCGTGGATCCTCGCGCGAAGCCGATGGGTTGCGCCATGAATCCATGCGAATACGATCCTGGGGTGCAGTTTGGAGGCGTATATCTCAGCCATTAGTGAGTCATCTGCGCTGCCGCTAGGGCAATGCCTTAGTTAGGGTCCCAAAACTACTTTCCACGTGAAATCCCCATAGCTCCAGATTTGGCTGGACGCTGCCTCTTAAGCTTTGTCAAAGCTCTTTCGGAACTTCCTATCATCCACACGGGAGTAGTAACCTGAAGAAATGCCCATAGCCGCCTAAACATCCATGTTTGTATCCCAACCGTCTGATATCGGAAATCTTTGTTTAACCCTTGCATTCCATTAGCTTCGTTCTTTTCCCGAGCCTGTCAATATTTGCGATCTTATCCAAGACATCGCGGCTCTATCCGTTGAGAACAGTCGTTTTTGTGCCGGTTACGCTTGAAATCTGGACCGCGTGTCTGACACCTGGAACAAAGAAATTCGGACACTTTGGGGTTTTTCTTGATTTTTTGCTCTTCAGTTTTTTTCTCATTGAAAAGAGTCTGTTTTGACAATTTCGGAAGCTTTCTTCTTTTGTTTTTCTGTTCAGCTCTTTTTACCATTTGATATAGCTCAGTTATTCAAAATAAAAAATATTCAAAAATTCATATCGACAGAATTGATTTTCTCACCGATTTCACGACTACTAATTCCTTCAAATTTCCTCCGCACAGGATCATTTCGTCTAAAGCTATTGGACTTTTTGCTCTAGCTGAACCTGCAGCCGCATTTTGTAAGGCAAGCGTTCTTGACATTTTTTTCGGAGAATCTCTAGACTTGCAGAAAGAAAAAATCTGTCATAGTTGATGAGCCCTACTTTTTCTACAGCATAGTCTAAAACGTCACTAACAATTGGTCAGCTGCAGAGTTCGGTAGTCTCAAAGCCCTGAAACTTGTCTCAGTTTACTTAACTTTCGCTTTCGCAATTCAAACTTTTCGTATAAAATCTTCTTTAGACCTTGCCAGAGTGCCATTTTGCTACCAGGCAGAGTCCCAGTTTGATGATCGCTAATTTCACCATCATATCTCTTCTACCACTCTTTTTGTGATTACAGTTCTGCTTTCTAGTTGTCGGCTCTGACATTTATGATATTCAAAAATTATGATAAAAATATTGAGACAGTTTGGATTTTTCTATTTTTGTTTCCATATTCATTAACCAGGCCAAATTTGAACCAAATTCGAACCACCTAGTAAGCAAATTCCGCCTAGCATATACTGGCAACGCGCTACTGCTCCCCTCACAAATTCTTGCAATGCTTCAAAAACAAATATAGTAGCCGTTATGCTCTTACGATTGAGCTTCTTCACCGAGTCATTGTGCAATTAGCACATATCATTAGAAAGAATGTTTCAAGCACGATCACATGATCAGTAATATGTGAAAATCTCTCATTTTTGCACATGAAAAAGGCAAAAGTGCGATTTTTGGTGAATCAAAACCCCAAGAAAATCACGTTACAGTCTTCAATTTTGTAAATATAGAGGAATATCGACGTAAATTACGCCTGGATAGATGCAGCTCAAATAGGTCTTTTAGGAAAATAAAATTTCATGGGCAAAAAAAAAACAAATATTCCCTTACGAAACTACTCATCATGTCTACATTTCCTTACTCAAAGCACTCTTTCTATAAAGTTGTCCTGGCTCTGGTGTCAGCCCCTTACCTAAATGTAGCTCTGATATCTTGAGTGGCCTCACATGTCTCACCGGAAGGGTACTGCTGTCATATTTGCTTGAAATTACCCTATTCAACTGGCTTGGCGGCTGGAAGGCGGGGCTTCGTGACTTAATTGAGGCTAAATAATGGGCAGAAAGCACGCACGCGAGAGAGAGAAGCAGATGCATCGCGGGCGCGAGCAGCCTTAATTAGGTCATAAGCAGGGTCAAGCGTGGGATGCGGCACGCCACACCTGGGGGGTCGTATTGAGGAGTCAAAAAGGGGGGGGGGGGTCGTAGTTGGGTAATCTGATAATAGTGATAACACGATATTCGTATCATATCCATAATTAGCATGTCAAAAAACCCCTGTAAACAAAGTTTGAGCGAATTCTAAAGATCCAAGATACTAGGCTACCTAGGTGAAATGGTCATTTTCCTACATGATTAACTTTGTTTCAAAGGCGAATTAGCTATCCTCTTTTGCACTCAAGACAAAGCACTGCTCCTTCTTTGTCAATCTCAGAAATCCCGCTTCAAAAGACCTCCAAACTGTGGAATTAGAAGTCAACCAAAATCTCGTCTTTCCCATTTTTCGCTTTTGATCGCTGGGCTTTCACCAAATATTACTCAGAGCTAAGAAAACGAATCAGGCTCAAATCACTCGTGCGAAAACTAGGAGACCTAGGCTATCGATTTATATAAATATGGTTTGCTAAAAATGTTTTTTTTGATATAGTTAGTGGGGTGCGGCACACCCCCTTAAAAGCTGCGGCTGCCGCAGCTTTTGAGGGGGTGTGCCGCACCCCATTAACTATATCAAAAAAACAATTTTAGCGGACAGTATTTATATGAGTCGATAGCCTAAACCTTGTAAATTCCATAGGACTGTTTGGAACCTGATTCGTCTTCTTAGCTCTGAGTAATATTTGGTGAAAGCACAGCCATCAAAAGCGAAAAATGGGAAAAATGAGATTTTGGTTGGCTTCTAATTCCACAGTTTGGAGGTCTTTTGAAGCGGGATTTCTGAGATTGACAAAGAAGGAGCAGTGCTTTGTCTTGAGTGCAAAAACGGATAGCTAATTCACCTTTTAAACAAAGTTAACCATGTTGGAAAATGACAATTTCACCTAGGTAGCCTAGTATCTTGAATCTTTAGAATTCGCTCAAAATTTGTTTACAGGGGTTATTTGACATGCTAATTATGGATATGTTGCCCATTATGTTTGACAGGGCCTTCAAGTAGTGCTATCTTAAGTGTGTAGTTTAGGGGGTGGGTCTTATTAAGACAGCAATCAGGGGGGGGGGTCGTAACCAGCGATCGTGTGCCACACCCCTTGCTTGACCCTGGTCATAAGGCCCCGCCTTCCAGCTGCTAAGCCAGTTCAATCAAAAGTTAGCTCCGAGTTTCAGCAATGATAAAAGTTACTACACATTCATATAGGTCATAGTTGCATATATAGTAATTATATGGATTGCACTCGAACAAAAATGACATGTTTCAATATCTTTCAGAATCCGAGCGCCTAGTGAATTCTCTCTCTTAAGAAAGACGAATTATTCTCAGAGTGTCCCATTACCTTCTGATTACCCTAATTGTAACAGGGATTTTTCATAATCAACAACGAAAAGTTTCAAAAGCCATTTCTGGATTATTCCCCATAAAATCCTGTTATATCGCAATCTATCTTATGTTATTTAAGGAATGGAACGAAACTGAATTGGATATCCCATTTTCTTATTTTTATTGCAACCACGATAAAAATGAGCATTAAAGCGTAACTCAAAGAATGATCTCCTTTTTGCTTTGAGAACTGCTTGAGCTTGACACCGAGATTAGTAATTGCTTTATTCGACTGACGTTTCGGCAAAATCGCCTTCTTTTTTATAGGATAAACTTGCACCTAATCTTGATATCTTTGATGAAGTATCCAAGCAACCTGCAAGTTTTGCAGAGTCGATCAGCAACGAGGAGCGACTCCTCGAAGAGCTCGAAAAGCGCCTGGCTGACAGCGAAAAAGCGTCTGACGCTGAGGAATGCTGTGAATATTTGGATGTGAGTCGCTTCAGCTACCACTACCGTATCTCTACCGTACCATCCTTAGCGTATAAACTTCATACCTTTGCAGAATCTCGAAAATCTCTTGGAAAAAGTTAACCAGTCAATGGATGTCGACGAAGAGATCCTATCCATGGAAGAGTCCTATGTTCGTGATTCGCTGACGCGATTGAACCAATCACGGCAGCGATTGGCGGATGCGACGCGCGAGCGAATTGCGGCGTTGTCGCGTGCCGTGGCCGACTGTGAACGCTTCGAGAAACAAATGGCTGATATACAACAATGGAGCGCAAATGTCTCTACACTTCTGGATTTGAGGAAATCCAGCGATGTTTCTGCGCTCGACGTTCCGGATGAATACAAGGTTGGTTGAAATATTTTAGAGGGCTAAACTTCCCGAGTAGGTGTGGTGATCATTCCCAGCTTCTTTTCGCCGCCTTTCCAACCTTCTAGATTTCTTTTCCCTCTTTCGCTTTCATTTCATGCTTGTTCCAGTCCGCATATGAGTCGGGAACCTTGGTGCAAGTGAGTTGTCAAGTGCCTACTATGACTTTTTTGCATGCATTTTTTTCTCTTTAACTGCATGATTTCTACGCTGTGTGCCTTTGCAGAATCTTAGTTTTTTGCGTGTTTGGACTGACTTTATAGCTACTTGAAGTTTCGAGGAGAGTGCACTCATTCTTTTATTGCATATCTGCAGTAATGATGTCCTTGAATCACAGAGAGTGAGGTAGCAGTTTTGAACTTAATTTCCTCTAGATGATCTAGCAGCCATCTATCTGACCTCAGCACCGCGTTAGACGAATGGGTTCAAATACCTGAATTCGCATATTCATTTGAAAGTTGCATGCAATTGTGCAGTTACACATTGTCAAAGATGGGACTGGCAAGGCTGGGAAACCAGATGTTTTTCCTCGACGTTTCTCTTTAATTTCCCTCGTTGTATAGAAACACTAATATCTGAAGAAGAGTTAGTTATTGAATTCCATGCTGTTCTTATTTGGAAATCCTATAATCCTATTCCCAGCATCCTGGGAAACATGCAACTGCACACACTAGCGAAGACCCTATTCAACTGTAAAATGAACGAAATCCTTCAAGATAATTTTTCCTCACTCCCGTGGTCTGTTACGCTTGATAAATATCTCAGGCCGCCTCTAGAGTTGTCCGTGCCGGTGCCGTGCCAGCGCCGTGCTAGCGCGGCACCTGAACGCCGAGAGACCAGTGCGAAGAGCTTACATGTGTATTCTGGCATGGCGCTGGAACGGCATTAGCGCTCTGGCACATGCAACTGTGAACGCAACCTTACATTCAAGATAAATGATATGAAGAAATGATATAGTGATGACTATCTAGTCTGCGCAGATCTAGGTGCTTACCCTTTAATTCAACTGGTTTGGCGGTTGGAAGGCGGGGCTTCGTGACCTTGTTAGTTAATGAGCAGAGAGCACGCGCGCGGGAGAGACGCAGACTGCGTTGCGGGCGCGAGCAGCCTTAATTAGCTCACATAGAACCTCCTTCCAGCCGCCAAACCAGTTGAATCGAAGGTTACATAAAATTTGAAAATTCAGTGATTTTTCAGCTGACTGTACGCATGTGTATCTTTACTTTGATATGTCCTTTCACCCAAATTTGCATGAAACCCTTTATTTGTCCATCATTTGGAATGCTCTTTCGCATCCTTAGGCTGCGCCCAGAGTCTCCCGTGTCAGCGCCGGGCCGAAATATCGATTGATCAATACAAGACGCATGCAGTTGGGCGCTGGCACGGCGCTGGCGCAGTAAAACACTGGACGCAGCCTTATTGTGCATGTTTCAGTATGATTGATAATTTTTTTGGATTACTGATTATTCAGGAATTGTCTCGCGAATTTGCAAATTGGTCAACAGCTCTGGACGAGACGGCTGCGTGGCTAGAGGAGGGTGAACGAAAGGACAATGAAAGATTTCACGATCAGTTCGCTCACGCAAAGGTTTGTATCATTTTTTCAAAGATTTTAGACAAAACACCTTTTTTCAGAACACCTTTGCCGATCTCAGCCAGAAATTCGCTGACTTTAAACATCCGAAAGCATTTGAAGAAAAGCTGGAGAGGATTGTACACAAACTTACGGATATTGAAAACACTTTAGACGACATGACAGGTACTGCACAAGAAGGGGATGATGATAGCGATGTTGAGTGCTTTTGACTGAAAATCGTAATAGCTTCAGGAATCGAAGCGATCTTCTGCGCCGACGCCCTAACTGAGGCGAAATCGGTAGTGAAAAAATTGATAACAATTGAAGAAGATCTACAAAGCCTAGAAAAAGGAAAAGAGCAGTTGATACAGGTTTGCTTTATTTTTTACACATCTCTGCTCCTCTTCTCCCTCCCCTCCTCACACCCAGCCCTCTTCCCCTGCAGCTAATATCCTCTTCATTACATGCGTATGCATGTACTGTGGTCAATTATTTTTGATGTGGTTAGCTATATTTGGGTAGAAATACGATGCTTTTTGAAACTTTTTGCACAATTGACTCAAAAAATCTACAGATTCCTTCCTTCTTCCTCTCCCTTTCCCTCATTCTTCTTTTCCCTTTCTTCAGTTAATCCACATTTTTTCATTTCTATCATCCACCAATCAAATTTATGAGATTAGCATTTTCATGAACTTCGTTGTTATTGAAGGGATACCTTGAGTAAAAAAACATTTTTGGAAAATTTTCGTAGTGTTATGATAGAAGGAAATGAAATCTTACAATGCTAGAAACTCAAATTTTTAAGGTAGCAAACATTCTAATCTCCTAATGCACCTAATAATTGTTTTTCTAATTCTATCTTACGTATTCTCTTCCCTAAGTCCCTCAAAAGTATTCCTCTGAAAACAGTTATTTCTCCTCTAAAATTTCGTAAACAATTTTTTGATTTTTGTGATTTTTAGTCAAGAATTATAAGCCTTTCTAAATGTATCAGTGATTTTTTCAGTGCTAGTTTTAAGATATTCCAAAAACAAGCATTTTTCCAAAAACTATCGCGTGTGTTTTTTTAGCTTCTGAGATTCATATCTTACAATCACGTACGAAAGTCCAGAAACTAGCAGTTTTTTTTTCAGGAAGGAATTTTCGACAAAGAATCTGCAGCACCATTCACAGAGAAGCTCCGTCATAGCAAAAAGAAGACAAAGGAGTTGGGAGTGGTAAGGAATTTGAGCAAAAGCTTCGTTTGAATTACGCATTCTCCAATTCATTTCAGAGAGCAGAAGATGCTGTAGAACGTCTGGAGGACTGCGTCGAAATGTACGAGAAAATACTGAAGGAATCTGAGAAAGTGGAAGAATTTTTGGACCAACTGGAAGATCGCTTAGAGAAGTACGCATCAGAAGATAAGGTAAGTTTTCAGATCTTTCCGAAATCTTTTTTTCTGAAAAAATCAGTGCATTTGCAGTCGAATGACGAAGAGGTCGTGAACGAGCTGATTAGCGAGTGGAATCGTCACGAATCTTCCATGAAAAATCTCGAAGAACTCGAACGTCTTCTTCGAGAAAATGCCGTCAAAGTCAGCGAAGCTGTTTGTGCTGATAAACGACGTAGAGCTGATGCGCTAAAGATACGATTAGACGGATGGAGTCGAACAGTGCAGGTAAAATTTCTTCTGTTCTCAGAACCGAAAATTTGCGAGGATTTTACGGGTTAGTCTGAAGTAAACAGTTTTATTTCAAGCATAATCTGTATTGATGAGGCTAGTTGCAACAAAACTGGAATTTGACGAGTTCATAGGCGAAAATTCCGATGGAAAGTATCAAATTCACAAATTCATTCATATCATATGACTCCATTATAAGCTATGGAAATATCTTTTCTCTGTTCAGTCACGAAACATTTTCAGCGCTAATGTTTCTGGCAAAAATAGTTTTCATACAATTTTCACGTTTATAAAATGCAACATTCCTGTTGGTAATCTGTTTATAGCTGGTTTTTCAGGTAAAAAGTTTACAAGAAATTTTTTGACTAATTATCTTTGGCTAGAATCTTGGCAAACCTAACCTATAACTTTGATTTAAGAAAGCAGAAGAAGGCAGCAAGAATCAGATAGGTTCTTTCACTACATATCTGTTGTATTTATAGAAACCGCTTTTTTATTTGCGAGTAAATTGGGTCACCTCATGATTTTTAACTCTAGTGAACCAATGAAAAAGTGGAGGGGTTAGTCTCAAATATGATCCTATCAACCAGTCCAGACGTCAAGCATTGCTGTAGATTAGCAAGATGTGTTGAATGATAGTTTTTGGTAGCACTAAGAAAATATTCCAGATGTTAATGCCAATCTCATGATCCTCATTTTTATGCACCGTCAGTCCTATACGGATCAGAACTCAAAAATTTCAGTCTATACATGTACTGAATTTCAATTTTGTCCTGCCTTCATTTTTATCTTCTATTGATTATTCTTACAATAAGTTATAGAAGTTAGTATTTGTTGCTGTATTCTTGCATATCGGTGCTTTTATAGAAAAAAAATTCGATGCGTTCTCCCGTAAAAAAGTCTTTCAAAGTCTGTTTTCTAATTTTTGTTTGATTTTTTTTGTTACAATGGCAATTTGGTGGCTCAAGTTCGGCAAAAATGGCCATAGGTTTAGGAAATTGTGAGCCTATCACACTGCCATCCATATGAATTAAGTGAATTTCACTTTTTGCCCCAAACGTCCAAGATGACTTCTGGTGCAGTTGCACTGAATATATGAAAGTCTAGAAGTTTCCCTTTTTGATCTAGGAAATGGATAACGACGAAGACACGCTGCTTATGCAAGTTGATGAACTCCATACCTATTTGGTAAATGAGTTGGATAAAGTCAAAGATAAGAAACCTGAAGAGGTGAGGGGCTGCCATTTCCCAACATTCCAACAATTGAATTATCAATTTGCTTTCAGATCGCGAGTGCGCTGCGATTCCTGCGCGGCGATCGCGATCGGCTATCGTCTCGCGCCAGGAAGCTCGCCGCGATAAATCCACGGGTCGCGAACGCGAATCTCTGCGGAGAGGTCGCCGATCGGTGGTCCCAACTGGAATCGCAGCTTCATGCTCCTGAAAAGCTAACGTCGGATTTGGGAGGAGTGCATCTGAATCCTGACCTGCCGTTCCATCAAAAGGTTTCTAAGCATTTTCTGCTTCGAAAAAATTGAAAAAAATGATTTTTTTTGTCAGATCGATCTCCTAAAAGAGAGCTTTGACAAAGCTAGGGATAGCCTGGACTTCGACAGAGCCCCAGTCTCGAATGTGAAGCAGTGGGAACAGAGGATCAAGGTAAGCAAAATCTTTTTTTACCTAGCAAGCGATTTTTTTTGCAAATTTTAGGCGGTGGACGATTTCCTGGCAGATAGCCGTTCAGCTTTGGAAGAAGTTATCGATCAAGGGCGAAGTCTGGCAAATAGTGGTCGAATGGAACTTGACACTCATAGAGCCATCGAGAAACTTGATGATATCGTTGACGTTGCTGATCAGGTAAGCAAATTGAGGTCCTGAAAGACTTCAAATTTTACAAAAAGAGTTCGTTCTTCGAAGAATCTTTCAAAGTTCCAAAACAGTCTATAAATTTAGCAGAGTGTTGATTTTCTACTTTTCTGAGAGACGGCCGTTTTGCACAACAGTATCCAGTGGCAATCGTGAGTAACTTGTCCAGTCACGTCGCCACGTGTCAAATTTTCTTTTCCTTTTGCTAACAGGGGAAGTATATTTAGTCAAAATGGCCTTTTTAAAGGCAGTGTCTCACCAAAATTTAGTCGCCGAGTTTTTTGCATTTTGCAAGCCTGTCGGACCCTGTCTAGCGCTGTATGGGTCTAAAATCGCACGAAGTTCCCAAAAACCCCGTTTTCTGGAGGGCCCGCGGAAGCAACGTGGACGAGTTGTACCTTCCAACTTCAGCCTCAGCCACAGTGGCAGCAACAGGGGGGAGGTGGATGCCAAGTGGAGGGACATGTTCAAACGCGTAAGGGGGGAGACCGAAGAAGTCGTCCGCGCGTACCACATCGCTCTCCGCGTACCATTTTGAGCGAATTTTTCTCAGCATGGAGGGAGTCAAATTGATTGGGACTTGTTGCAATGGCCTACTTAGAGGTTCCTATAATAGAATATGTACAGATCCTCGCGACCTCAACATTGGTGAGACACTGCCTTTAAATGGGATGTATACTTTGAAGGGCATAGAACGCTGATTCCAAATCTGCCTTCCTTATCTGCGGAACATTTATGAACGAGGAGTTATGAGCGCTTATTGGAGCAAAAAATTGAAAGTGCAAGTAGGACAAAAATAGTCGTAAAATACTTATTCTAGCTCTTCATTGGAGCAGTGATAATCATTAGAGCACTTTACTCAACAAACTCTAAGACAAAAGAAAATAAATCACACTGGGTTGCATTACTTGAGGGCTTATAAGATTCTCGCAGCTCATTTTATCCCAAACGCGCATTCAATTTTTCGCTCCACTAAACGCTCGTAACTCTTCGTCAATAAATGTTCCGTAGATAACGAAGGCAAATTTGAAATCAGCGTCTTAGGCCCTTCAATAATTTATATATTCCATCCCAAAAGGTCACTTCGACTAAACAAGCTCCATTGTAAGGCAAAAGCCGCCGCTATGTGTCGCGCACAACAGCGGTCCTGTACGGAAAAGGGCCATAATACGTCCCTTTGTAGCGCATTTGACTACTACATTCAACTAAAAAAAACTTAATGAAACATTTTTTTCTGAGAAATCGATGGGTTTTTTTTGGATATTGCTATTTCAAAAATTTTTTCTACCCAGTAATATTTTCAAACTCTATTCTCTACATCACTCCGTACTACTTTATTGTTACTCCAACAGGAAGTCGATGTGTGATTGCACAATTCTCAAGATAAGCAGTGTTATGAACAATAGTAAGCCCGTAAAGTTTCATATCAGAACTTCTTCCGCTAAGCGCTACTCTGACTTATGGAAGCAATGACTCATTTTCATTTGAAACGATACCCTTTGTCTTAGTAGCGCGATGATTCAGCTTAGAGTTGCTTCCGGAATTTTGTCTTCTTCCACCTGATTTGTTATCATTCAAACTTTTGAACATCGAGATCCTGACCCAACTACAATAGCGACCCCACGTCTTGAACATATTTTGCTCAAAAAGTATGGGGTTACGTCCCTTCATTTCAAAAGCTTGAATTACAACATCCTGTAATAATATCTACATGGGAAAAGTTTTCAAACATTACATTTTCCCACAATATTATTGCCAGGTTATCGTTCTTCATATCACGGAAAATCTTATTGCTTGTTTATTCGTCTATCGCAAAATTTAGATTTATAAGAGGGCTTTGGAATCGATGATAAATATTTGGGTGAACATTTTCCCCTTTTTTTATCGAGATTGAGCCTGATACTCAGTTTGTCATTCTATTTGAAAATAAAATAGTAGGCAAATAATAAAATAAATAATAAAAGTAAATAAGCAATAGTGATTAATAATTGATAATTAAATAATGATTGATAATTAATAAATAATTTGATAAAAGGCACTAATGCTCAAGTCTGGAAGGCTTTATTTGTTTATAGCTGGAAATGGAAGTGGAATCGCAAAAATCGTTGGTGGACCCGCTTCTTGCTCAAGCCGAAGCGCTAGAACGAGATGTGGAAGCGGCCGAGAATGTTGTCGACGCTCTCATATCACGTAACCTCACGGATCCTGCGATCGCCAAGGTAAGCACTTTTTGCCCCCCTCCCCTCCCCCTTCCCCTCTCGTCTCGTTAATAATTGTTCACTGATGTTTTCTCAGGCCACTCGGCAAGACTTAGCCGATCGCGATGCGCAGTTTGCTGCACTATCGCAGCGTGCGGCTGCGATCCATGCTGATCTGCCGGGAAAGTCGAGTGCGAGTCGCGACAGCACACTGTCATCACTGGGAGACAAATTGTCGAGACTGGAATCAATGCTGATTCAATTACGTGGAACTCCATCTCGTTCGATCGCCGATGCAACACCAATCAAAACGTCGCCAGATCGAACAAGTGCAAGCAGTATGGGCCCCTTGGGTAAGAAAATTTTTGTAAATTTTTCTCAAGATCATGAAGGTGTATGTATCAGTGGCATTGTCACCGAGTATGTGCAATTGCACACCACATTCGTATTGCGCCTGAAATCCATTTTTGAACATTCGTTGTATACACTTTCTAGAAATCTTTCTCCAACTTATTTCAAAATGCTTCGAAAATGTAGGAGTTAAAAAAAACTGAAGAAATTATCAATCCCGGAGATTTGCGTCAGATAGTACAAGCTGTGTGCAAGCGCACAAATTGAGTCATAAGTCGACTCCACCGTGAACCTTTGAGCATGGCAACTGACTGTGGCATTACTCGGGCAGAGTCGTTAGCTTTCTATTTTTTGGAAGTTTTTCGAAGAGTTCGACTAAAATGTGAACAAAGTTCCTCTATCTCTTTCAATATATTGAGCCAAAAGCTATCTTACTGCTAAAAAGTTCAGAATCTGTAAAGGATTGGCTAACACTAAAGTGCTTAGCAAACACATAGGCGAATTTACTTTCTATCCGACTAATGATTGGAAAAACTATTTACTTAAGAGAGGGTTGAGTCTGATGGGCACTGCCGTTTAGTTACTCCCTCTCCTTCGCTTGTTTGATAACTTAATAAAAAATGTTTTTTAGCTATGGAGGTGGGAAACGTCACAGATGCTTACATGACCGAAGATGAAGGTATGAGAGATGAGGGATCCGCTTCCCCGTCCAAGGATGCACCAGCTTCACTTCCCAAGGATAAATCCCCAAGGAAATCACCCTTACAAGGGGACACAGCCTTCACGCTCGGGAGTTCTAGCGAAAATGGCTCTGCATCGCCACCAAAAGCAAAAATGCGCAAAGTGATAGTACCTAAAGAATCCCAGGAAAGGAAATCCGCTAAAGCGCCGGTAAAGGAAGAGCCGAAAGAAGAAGTCACTGAGGTTACCATCGGTGACGTCGACGAAGCTGAACCTACCGTATCCGTGACCTTCACTCAGCCAAGTACGGTCAAAGTGGATGTTGAAACTAACGGCCATGATGATCACAGTGAAGACGCGTCGGCTGCTGAACTTCCGCCGTCGGGACCACTTCCTTCCCCAGATGGGAAAGAAGAGATGGAGAAGGTAAAGCCGAAGTGGCTTGAGTTACTACTTTGGCATAAAACATCATTTTAGGTCTATGCCAACCTTGACGCAATAGAAGAAGCTATAGCATCGGACGAACAGTATCCGATGGAAGGAATTGACACTATGGAGGAGCGTTATAAGGTTTGTTCTATCATAACAATGTATCTGACCTTTTTAAGTTTTGTAGAGGTGACCGTCTGGTTAGTTATCTTCAGGGGGGGGGATGCGGCGTTATTCGTACTGGAAAGAAAGTCCGTTTATTATGTTTTTTAAAGTTCTAGCGAATTTGTATGGTAGCCACGACTCCAAAACTGTTTTACAAAGCTAATTTGATTTTTGAAGAGCAAATGGAGACGGCCCACGCAATTTTCGCAATCATGTAAAAGTCCTCTTCCCCTCCCCGCCTCTCCCTCCCCCCTTCCCCCGCTCGGTTCGCAATTAATAATAATTTGCAAAAGTGGTGTACACTCTGTCCCGATCCCGATCAGGCCAAGATTGACATGGCAGGAGTCCGCGTCGCGAGGGTTTGGGTCACGTCCTCTTGTCCGTTCTCTCCTCAGCTTCTTCGCTCTCTTCAAGTGCACTTATGCAGCGCGAACCCCTAGAGCTGTGAGCGCGCAAATTCAGGTTATGCGGCTTCTCTCGATTGAGACAGACTAAAAAATCATGTCGTTTGATTGATTAAGTGATTTTGTAAATTCTCTAATAATCAATCTGCAAAATTTCTGAATTGCATCTTACATAATTCTCAACTCTTTCTAAATTCTTGGTTAACTAAATGGCTTCGAATTTTTTTATTAAACTCAATGAATGTTACCGTCTTCCTCCCTCCCCCCCCCCCCACTCTCACTTTTAGGTAATTTTCAATATTACGACACCAGAAAGTGCAAGTATAAGCTACTCAAGGGAGCTTGGTCCGTAGATCTAATCGTACTCCAATGACACTACTAATCATAGCTTTCAAAACACTAGAACATAAACGCATTTGTAATATGATTAGTTATATTAAGCACACTTTTTTGTTGTTTATCCTGGGTTCTATGCAAATCCAGAATCCTCAAGGACTTTTCGCGCGGAATTAGCCTCGCAAACGAGAATGGAGCATGCTATTTACATCATAATCTCTATTACCATGCTGTACACGCTCATGTTTTTCAGAAGCGATTCTAATTTGCCTTTTTCTTTATTGATTGGATGTTCTCAATGTCATGCCAAATGCTTTGAATATTTCTGATGAGTTCGCCGCATATTACACATTCTAAGCGATAGACTATTCCCACTCCCGTGACATCATTAGGGATTTTATGGGCAAGAAAATTTGTCGTGAAGTCTTCTGCGCATGAGTCGCTTTCCAGCGAGGCGATGGGTCAAACATCATGAGGGTAGATTGAAGCCTTACAGTAGTCCTAAACCAAGCAGGCGTTACTGTAGCCTGGAATTTCTATAAATATACATTGCCTGTTGCTCACCTGTACTTGCTCAATGCTTTGTAGTACTGAAACATTTAGCTTATCTTGTATTTCAGCAACACTAAGTTTGACTAAAAATCAAAGACTAACTAAACTAAACTCCAAAGAAAGCGGAGAAAGCATAAGCTTTACTTAGTGATCGAAAGTAATAAAATTAAGCTAATGATACACTAGAAAGCGGTTTCCTTGGCGAAAGTTGCTTAAAGGCGCCTTCCATCCAGATCGGGCTGGTAAGATTTGAATTTAGTACGTTAGCGAGGCCGCTAGCTGGGTCTGCTCAAATCCCGCTGCAAAAGGTGTACCCCAAAACAAGAAAATCGTTCCAGAATGTAGATGTTGCTTGGGGCGCCACGCCCACCAACTTGGGTGGGCTAGAACGAGCTCGGAACTAGCTCAGTAAAATCGCGCAATGGCATCAGTGTGAAAAACGGATTGTCGTTCCAGCTTATTACCTCTCCCCTCCCCCTTAAGTAGGTGGGCGTGGCCTCCCAGCAGCATCTACTTCCGGCAGCTATTTTCTCGCTTCGGAACACAACTTTTGCAACGGGATTTGTACAGTTACTTGATTAGTTGGCTCGCTGTTGTACTGTATCAGATTCTTACGAACTACAGGTTTGGATGGAAGGTGCCTTCAAGATGCCGCGGTCGTGAAATCTTCAAAAACTAACAAATCTGAAACTGTCTGCACCCCTTTGGTTCTTTTCGTATATGTTCTTTTCTTATATCGAGTATTTAGCGTCACATTTTATTGATATAACATCACTGAAACGGCGAACTCGGTGAATTTGCTCTGCGTCAACTCTGTTGGGAACAGACTCTTTGGAATTTGTGTATAAAGGATCTTCATGAACTAATAAAAAGCGACTGAATTGGAAAATTACATACAGTCTAAAAAATTTCAAAAATGAGCCTGCAGCGTGAAAATTTTTAAAATTCAAGATTGATCAAGGAATTTCCAGAAAATGGCAAACGAGCTCGAAGACGCCTTAAGAAAAGTTGACGAGCATCAGATGACGATGGATGTGCTGCATGTGTCGCACACTCAAGAAAGGGTCCAGGCCTTGCAGAAGGACCTTGCAGAAAGGAAAGAAAGGGCCATCGAAGAAAGAAAAGAATGGCAAACTTTGCAGCATGTACGGATTCACTTATTCATACCTAGGCATTAGAATTACCCAAAATTTTCCAGGTCCTTTTCGAAGCTGAAAAAGGTGTAGCCATGGGTGACAATGCCATGGATCGTTTCACAGGACGTCAAACAAGTCCCCCACTTCAAGAATTGGAAGAGCGCCAAAACGCTGTTGAAGAGGTGTGACCCTCGAGTGTTTGCGACTCGCTTACGCTTCACGTTTATTGCTTTTAGCTCCTTCCTCGAACCGAAGCACTAGTCTGCGATGCTGTGCGACGGCTGAGCACGATTCTGCCGCGATTGAGGGAGAATAGTGAGCGGGCACGAGCGATTCGGAATCGCGTACGTGATGTTGAGATGCGATTCCGAGATTTGGTGCGAGCTGCTAGGGAAGCTCGAGTTCGTTTGGATGCTAGGGCAGTGGATCAGGGGCAGCTGAAGCAAGGACTGGAAAATCTCCAATTTTGGTTAGTTTTCTAGTTTTTCACATTCTCATGATTGATCACCTGCCTGATTATAAGAAAATTTTTTCCCATTCCGTCTATGAGTTAGCAGCTTGCGAATTTTCTCAAATTGGCAAAATAAGGTTTTATGAAGTGTAAATTGAATTTTTGCCCTCTACTAGCCTTTCTTTAAAGAACTGAACTGAATCGCGAAGTTGAATGCTAGAGCAGCATCCAGAATATGCTGGCGCTGTACCTGCGCCGTGCCAGTACCGTGCTAGAACCCAAATGCGCGCTCCCCCTATTGATCGAATCGATTGACGTTCCCGCACGGCGCTGGCATGGCACTGGCGCCGAGGCAACTCTGAACGTTACTAGATTGAGGCTGTTGTTTTCATTATTTTTTTTAGTTTTTCTTGAATTTTTTTTCTGTGTGGTGAAGGAGTTGATCGAATTCTTTGATTTTCTGAATTCTAATCTTACTTTTTAATTTTGAAATTTTATGGAGAAAAAAGCTTGAAATTGTTATCGGGCTCAAACTTTAAGCATTTCTTTGCACACATCATACGCCTATCGTAAAAAACAGCTACCCTATTTTCCGGAGTATAAGCCGCACCTTATATAAGCCGCACCCGCCGCAGCGAACAGTGGCGCGAAAGCGCCTTTGAAAAAAAGAGCTATATAGCAAGAAAACTCGGTGCGTGCTAGTACGGATAGTCATGTCTTCAGGTACTTTTTTTCTTTTTTTTACTTTTTTTCCTTAAAGGATTCAACGAAGCCTTTACAACTGATCTAGACATAGACGATCTCGATAATAGCTTCTCGTCGATGCTTCCTGATGATATTGAAAATGCTTAGACTTTCCTTCTTGTTTCATATGACTTTGCGGATGTTTAGGTTGTGTTTTCTTTCCTAAATGATACTACTGGTTGACTGTGCTGTTTTTTTTTCAAAGATGTTACCGGTGCTGAAATTGTGCTTTCTTTTATTTTGATTTACCGGTTCGAAACAGATAATAGTTGTTGCTTGTGCGCTTCGCGCATCGCGAACGACATCGCATTTCAGCCCGCGCGCGGTGAAAAGAAATGCGGCTTATACTCCGGAAAATAGGGTATTTTGATAGAAATTTGTTTTTAGGTGCGATGAAACAGCCACAGAATTAGAAGTCGATTTCAATCCATTTGATGCCAAAGCTATTGATGAAGCAGTGCGGTTGGCAACGATAAAGAACGCACAAATTCCAGAAAAGTTTGTATCTCTGTTTTTCCAAGAGTTTTTCTTCTTTTTACACCCTCATTTCTTAGGAAAGCGGCGCTGATCGCGCTCGAAGCTGCAAAGGAGCGATTGATCGCAATGGCAAGCGTCGATAATGCGGAAAAGCACGAAGTTCGTCGTGGTGTCAGCGAAGTAGCGAAAAGAATCGCAGATGTGAGATTTAGCATTGTTTTTACACTGTTTTGATTCTATGCGCGATTATTCAGATCCGCAGCGATTTGGTGGATCGCCTACAAGCCCTCAACAAACAGAAGCGCGATTGTGAGTCGTTCTGGCGGCTCGTGGACGATATCGCGAAGCGCGGCAGCGATCTGCGACGGCGATGTCAGGCGATTAACGATGCTGTGATATTCACACCATCGCCCGATCACGTTCTTGCGTGCCATACGGACGCTCGAAATCTCAAGGAGGATGTCGCGATGATTAAGGAACGAGTTCGAGAGGCTAATGCGGAACATCCGAAACTCGCTGGGAAGAATGAAAAGGTGGGTTCCATCTGAGAACTTTGAGTGTGGTGCGAGAGGAGGCAATTTCAAGCGACAAAGAACAGAAGCCTTCGACTTTCATGGGGGAAATTTACGGAGGCACGCGGAAGACAGACTAAGCGAAAAGCGATACGTGCAAAAAGCAAGAAACTTCAAGCCCTGTCTACTTGTATTCTTGACCTCATCGTGCCAGGACTGTTTACTCAAGACGTCAGCTCGGCTGTATGTGGTAATTCCAGGTTTCGCGCCAAAAACAGACGCTCCGCCTCCGTCAGCCTCAGTGACAAAACCCAAGGGGTTTTCGTATGGGTCTTAGTACGAACCAAATATGCCATTTGCAGATTGCTTGCCTCATGTATTATCGCTTTTCGCGACCCCCCTCTTCCTTAAAAAATGACAGGACTTGTTTTCAGCGCGAAATTTGAACTTGTCGCCATCCATTTACACTCTGACGACGCGGTCTGGCCAAGCAGCGCATGAGTGGGCGGCGCTTAGAGTTGCTTCCGTTTTGCACGTATTGTCTTCTTCGCGTCCCCCCCCCCTCCTTCCTCCCGTCTCCCTCTCTTAAATAACCCGCAAACGCATGGTTTTTGCCTTTGGAAACGTTGTAGGCCCAACATCCGTTTTATGGCGCGAAATTTAAATTGTCCCCTCATGCGCTTTGGCTGGCGTATTGGGCACATGTAGGTGCCACGATGTAGTCAAGCAGCGGGTAGAAAACGATATGTACCCAATGTCCACATATTGGGACAACTGGCACGAACTTTGATGCATAGAAATGGTTATTTGTTGAAGACGTTTGCGCGAGATCTTTCCCAAAGTAATGCCCTCAGGCCGCGCAGAAGTGAGCAAGGCCTAGAATTGTTTGTATCTTGCACATTTACCGGCTTCCTATGCCCTCCAAGTGTCTTGGTCCAGGTCCTGACACGATATCTCGCAGTTTGAGCGAGGGCGGGGCTTCAAGTTGGAAATTTGCATTGTTTTTTGCCTTCTTTTCTTCCTCCATTCTCCCCAAAATTTAGTTTTTATTTCTCTCAAATATTTTTGTTTTAGAAACTGATTACTGTGATTACAACGTGCAATAATGCTATCAGTGAAGCGTCATCACTGCCCGAACCACAACAACCGTCGACGGATGATTCAATGCGTGATTCTTCTCATTCGCAAAGTACTGTGGTGGATGCTACCCGAGGAGAACTGAAAGCACCATCGTCGTCGAACACTACAGCGGTTAGTTGCGTTTCTTTGCTTCGGACATAAATCGTGTTTCAAAAAAAACTTGAGGACATTTTTCATGGGAGTGTTATGAGAGACTCGTTGGCGCCGTTCTTGCTAGCTCCAGTCCGCTACACCTTGTACTTTCCTCTCAATCTATGTGTTTTCCTCATTATCTACTCTTGTCATCAAAAAGAACCACGCAAAAATTTCGTCATCAGAATTTTTCAAACAGAATTGCAAGCAAATCTTCCAGCTCTATCTGGTTCATCCAGTCCCTTCCTTTGCTTTTTTCTTCAATGGAACAAAATCCAATTCCATCCAACAAAGCATCTCCAAACGATCTCCAGTCATTTTCAGGCTCAAATTTTGCTCTTCTCTTTTCAAAACAAATAAGAGAACTGCTATGTTCCTTTTACTTTCCTTTTTTGAGTTCTAATCTCGTCCAATCTAAACATGGGCGTTACACTACTACAAATGAGCTCCTAACTCATGGGAAAAAAACGGATTGCGACAAATTTTTCCGTCGCGACATATTTATCTTCGCAAAACCGTTGCAATGCTATAACTTTCTTTGAACTAGTTTTCAAAAGAAAGGAGAATATTTTTGGATTGCTGAGAACCTAGCGATTCAGAACAACTGTTAAAATTTCAAAATTGCTTTATTTGAGCTGTCGCGACGTATTTGCCGCGACAAAACTGTCGCACCGAATTAAGTTGCTTGAACATAAGTTTCGTGCAGTAACAAGTAAATTTTTGGACTCCTGGCAGAATTTTGACTCATAAGAAGCTTCAAAAATTAAAGCTCTTGCACGAAGCATGTAGTGATTATTTGAAATGTTTTCATCAAATTTAAGTCAAATTTACGAAACTTTGAATAAATCGCAAAATTTATTTCAGAAAACGACAGCAATGAGCACTGCGTTGTTTCTTTGATAATTTTGTACTACACTACTATAACATTTTTTTCTTCCTCATATAGAAAGCATCAGAAAATTTGCAGAGCCTCATGCTATAGGTATATGGGAAATGAACCAAAAACTAGTTATGGGTATATGGGAAATTGACCAAGAACTAGTTTTCAGCCTAATATTTACCGCGGTAGGGGTGCAAACACTTATTGTCAGACAATGTTGCTCGTTTCCTTCTCATTTTCCCTTTCTTTTTGAAATTCGATTTCTCCACAAGAGCCAATCCAAACTCAACATTTATGACTAGATCGAGTTTTCAAACCACAATGTCATAAAAATTATTCAAAACCCCGGAAAATCAAGCCTTTTTCTTGCGTGACATGTACTTATCAAAAAGTTGAACTCATGGAAATTTAGAAAGGATTTTTTGCGTGATTTAATGTTTTCTTACTTTGATCTAGTGTTATATATAAATTTTCCCATGCGCTATACCGAAAATCTCATGAGAAGAGTTGCGGGAAAATTCTTTCTTCTGCTCATCTTTCCTTGACCACATTCCTAAGAGATTCGTCACCCGCAGAGTACTCTTGTAATGTCTTGAAGCTGGGTGACGTAGCATAACTAAGCATTTTCTGTTTATTTTCTTGCTTCATGAGAGCTATAAAATTGTATAAATTTGTAAAAGCCATACGTACTACCATCAAAAACTAAAGCAAACACTCGCAACTTCTCCATCGCTTTTGCCATGACGTACCAACATTTAGATGGTTAGGTTATTTCTAGGTTATTTTTCTAAATGATGATCAAAAAGTTTAGTTCATTGTGGTCAGGTAAACAACATGTTAATTGAAAACAAATGAACCATTTCAAATCGAATTTCAGAGGAAAACCATACGCTAATCTTCGCTTACTCTATAATAATATGCTATCAGATTATTTCCGTTGTTATCAAACTTATTAAAGAAAACTTGGCTTATGACTGTCATCATCAAAAATTGTTAAACAAGGAAAAAACCTGGTTTGAGGATGTTAACTATGTGCTCCTTGTAGAATGTTCAAAGCAGACGAAAAAGTAGGGTATTGTGTTGCAAGCCATTATCTGCCTGAGAAACCCTCCTCAACTCTCACTTATTTCGATTTGTCCCTTGAGCATTACTTCATTTTGTTACTAATTTCTGTAAACTCTGAAAAAAGCTTTTTTTACAGGCCATTACTGCCAGGCTGACTGCGTAATCTTAGTGACTAGTCAAAAATTAGATCGTTTTATAAATTCGTAGAGTCTTTATTTTTGTCGCCATTTTCAATGAAGCGGTTGGTTCAACGTCAGAGCAGCCGTACCATTGAAAGGAGAAAATCTTGCACTACAAGTGATTTTCTTCATTTTGGAAAAAACCTTGTATCTTTTGCTCTATAACTTCTCAAAGCAAAGTTCTTTGACAAGCAGAAATTGGCGATTTCGGCACTGCAAATTTCGATCCATATAAGGAGACCACTAGTAGGGATTCTATAATGTAAACTGATTTTCGAACTGAATGCAAAGTCAAAAAAGCACGAAGGTATAGCAGATTTGTAAAACCCTGAATTCCACGAAAAACATGCATATAAACGCAAAACGTTCAACACGCTTCCTTACAAATCAAATGATTCATATAATCCAAGTTGATGTCATATTCATTTTTACTAAATCGCATAACTGCGGCAGGTACAATGTCGGGTTCGTTGGCCTCTCGTCAGAGCTATAAATTTTCCTCGCGGCTAACCTAATTCACATCAATGAGGGCCTTTGTTTTTGTGAGAATTCCTCGAGTTACTAATTATTATGATCAGTGACGCACATGACTCCTGGCCTTTCCTCAAAAATGTGTGAAGGGTTGGCTCTTACTCACTTTTTTCTTCATATATCACCTCCAGGAAAATGTGAGCCACTCTGTCTAGCTAAGCGCCGTTAAAAAAGGAAGAAATTCCGGTGATAGCGTTTCGGCAGCCATCCAAAACCAGTGCGAGTCAAAGGGAAATTGCAAGGTGAAATGGAATTCGCAAGCGAGTTAAGCAAATATGAGCAAATCTTGAGCAGATTTGAAGCAATTTCAATGTATTATAGCTTAAATTAACATCCTGCGAGTTCTTTGTCTCATTGGAGGCTATAGATCTTACAAAGGAAGAATACTTGGTGACCGTGGCTATTCATAATGATTTGTATATCTAAAAATGCGGTTTTTAATGCTGATTCGAATACTATTTCACATATCTGCAAAACTATATCCTAGATGGAGTTATGATTATTTTTGTATGAATAAATTACATTACTGCGGAGGGTCAAAATCGTCAATAAAAATTTTCCTTCCTTTTCAAATGCTGAATATAATTATAAGTATAATACAATAGTACTTCTCTTAAGATTCTTTTCAATAGCTAAACGGTGACTTAGAACAAATTTGGTAATTTTAACTACCCGAAAGTACGCAAATTTTCTACGAAAAAAGTTCATAACTTCCTGCAAAAGAACTTTCCGCAGATACAGAGTACAGATCTAAAATCAGCGTTTCGAAATCTTACGCTATACATCGCATTTTAAATGGCCGTGGTCACCGAGTATTCCTTGTTAGACTGATTTTTGAGCTGAAATTAGAGAATAAAACAAATGTTCCTGGAAGCTTGAGAGACGAATTCGGAATGAATTGTCAACAAATTTATTTGCTGAAAATATTGAGGAAACTGGAACGTCACATCCCCTGAGGAGAAATAGGAGAAATTACTAAAAGAAACATTGGCTGGGGTAGCAAAGAGAGTTCCCGTATCGCATTTGCATCTATTCACAGTTCATCGAGATTCATGAGAGGCTCTCGCTCTTTCCCCCCCCCCCCCTCTCCCCCTTCCACCCTTCTTTTCCCCGTTGACATCAGAAAATGTCGTAGCGACATTTACGCTTTATCTGCATGTGTGAAGCCGATGGAAGAAAAACCTCTTTGAAATGTTCCACAATGCACTCCGCAGCGTTGCAGAACGCTATCTTTATCGTTTCCGGACTTTTGCGAACACCTGCTGCTAAGTGACTTCCCATACATTTTATCTCCCTATAAACTTCTAGGAAATGATCGATGATGACGGCGAGCTCACAGATGAGGACACCGTCGAACCTGAGTATCAGGGTCGGTTGGAGTCGACCGCGAGCTCGACGAAAGACGACGATAAACGTGATCCGTGAGTTTATTTGCATTTTCTGAGCCTGTTTGTGGAGTAAAGTCCTTTTTAGAAGGATGCCGCCGCACATGAACGCTCGCGACACGGCGAATTGGCAGTCACTGACGCAATTGCGGCACTGGCTCAATGAACTGGAACGCGATGCCAGTCTTACTGTCGATCTAGTGAATACTGCAGCTATAAAGGAAATGAACAACACAGTACAGGTGAAAATAAAAATACTTCGTCGTTCCTATCTATCGCCGATATCCACTATTTCGAAAAAAAATCCTGGAAAAAAGCCAGGTTTTTCATAGTTTTTTTGGAGGACGAAAAATGTTTAAAAAAATATATAGCTTTTTATACTACTGTCGCTTTTACTCGAAACGGATGAATGCCGAATTTTCAAAACCTGGCTCCATCTTTTCTAATCCTACAGTAATGACCCATAGATCTTCGCATTCTCAAGCGTTGATAAGCATATCATGAAATTCCTAGTGGTATTAAAGTCTCTAAGAAAACCAGACTTTTTTTTACTGAAAAAACACTTGTAAAATACCATTCAAAAGGCTCCATGATGAGAAAAAATGATGAAACTAAGAAGATGAAGCACACTATGTAAATTCAATCTTTATCTCAAATGTAGTTTTGAATGTATCACTTCTGAAAAAATAAATCTGTGAAAAATCCCTCATCTTCTTGCTACAATATACCTACAGTAATGAAGGAATTTTTCACTCTCGAGCGTTGGTTACAGTACATATCTTTAGAATCACAGTCTGGACTATTATTATAGTAGTTTTGAAAAAAATCATGCAAAAAATTGTTTCTCACGATGCAACCTCATCTTCTTGACACAGTAGTCTATCATAGAACATAAAATGTATTTTTCCCAGTATATCCTTCGCTGCCGTATTCATTTCTTTCTTAGGGCATCATGGATCACATACGAATGAAAATAATGGATGTGGTTGGTATACAAGATGCTAGCGCAGCTTCACTGGTCAAACTGAAAGCAAGAGAACTGGTATGCAAATTTTCACCTTTTTGACGGTGCCTTAAATTTTTAAAAATGCTTGAATCATGACTAGCCAGGAACTAGGGAAATAGCTTGTAACGTACATTGTACTCCTTGAAGGTCGAAGACATGGATCGCGTAGCAAAACAATGCGATCGTCGACGCACAACATTGACGCAAATGGCAGAACAGAGCAGGGCTTGGAATAATGCTCACGATGCTGTTGAGATATGGATGCAAGATGCGGATTCTATAATTGGTAGGTCAAAACCTGAATTTTTTTTCCGAGTTTCATCCTGAAGTGTACTAGAACTGTATTCTACAGATATCTCAATTTACGACTGCATTTGTTAGACGCACGTAGTCTGGCGTTCCTCTTTGTACGTGGTCTTGCTTGCTTTTATCGTCTGCGTCTCTCTTATTCACACTGTATTTGCATGTCCGTAATCACGCCCAGTCCTCGCTTCATACATCGTATTTGAGCATACTATACGAATTTCTTTTCCTGTTAGCGTTTTATTGCAGAAGTCGCAGAATAACGCAATTTTAGCAATAGCGCGTATAAAATTCACAATCAAGAGTCATGGCTTTGGCGTTAAATTCTCATAGTCTAGGTCTTTTCCAGCGCCGTATGTTCAGTACTATCTTTCGACGTTTGCAGTGATTGTTTCTTCTAGTTTTCGAAGAAAAAACCTCGATAATCTTTGTAGGATAAAAACACAGTGATCAAATGGCCCTAACAGTGATATTGTAAATATCCCCCATGCTTAGGAATGATTTGGCTGAACCCTTGAATTTCTCCTGAAAAAATTGAATCTCATTGTCAAAGAAAAGAAAATTTAGAACAGTTTCTTATAATGTAATGCATTTTTGGTAATGTTGAGGCTATTCTTTTCTTCTTTTTCGGCTTGAACTATCTAAAGCTGTTTGTTTGAGAGTGTTGCCACAGCTTCATGTAAGGGCGGAAGAATCATTTTTTCTTGAAAAAAATCATTCGCATCAAAATTCCAGTGACGGTGCTTTTCCCAGCTAGCGAGTGCTAACGACTCTCGATTTTATTTCGACTCTCGGAGTTCAGTATCTCATTCAGTATCAGTTGTAATACGAGTGTCATAGTATGACGACTAGAATGCATCAGTGCTGCTGAACAAGCGTGACTTTTTATGACGGTCGCAAGAGTGAGCATCAATGTGCGTTGCCTCCTTTACAATGGATACTCATCGAAAATGTGCAAAACTCTATGATGCACGATGCAAACTACCCTCTGCTACTCGTAACCCATTCCTATCGCTATACACCTTCACATCATAGTTTTGTCCATTGAGAATCTCATTTCGGTACATAATATTATATTCTTCCACTTCTAGTTTACCAATCCGCTTTACCGTGTCGTGCATGCGCAATTCCAAGAGAACGTAAACGGACGCCATACGCTTCCAGACACTTTTGACACCAATTATGACAAAAATAATTTTTGCCAGTCAAATCTCAAGGTCTCATTTGTGAAAAGCTCTAACATTTCCCCTGAGGCAGGGCCAAGCATGTCGCTCTATTCTTATGCTTTTACTGATGACTTCTACTCAATGTATCAATGATGGAAAGTAAAAAGTTCGGGTAAAATTGTTGAAAAAGCAAGAATAGTACGAAGAAACCAAATACAACGTAAAGTGAGTTTGAAACTAAGGTCAGAGTAATGCTTACATATGTGCCAAATTGCAATTTATACGAGTTTGACTTTTCTAGTGAAGAACTACTGGGTGATGATTCCCACATTAAAAATCGAATCATGCCGGTTGGCTTATTTCCAATGTGTTACGTCAAAGAACTTTACACCTTTACTGCTATCTGCAAGTAAAGAATGCCGCAACCAAGCGAGAGTGAAAACCGCTCTCAGTCCTGCTCGCTCTGGTAGAAAGAATGGGTTCTTAGGGAATTCCACATATTTAGGAAGAAGTGAGGAGTACAATTTTGCCCAAATAGCTTTCTTGAATCGAGTAGGCAAAATTCGTAATTTAACTTTGGGATTCTTACACAAATTTTCGTTAGCGGTCTGTGGGCTTGACTCACTTACTCTTGAGCGCGCGACTTCCAGACCGATTTTTGCACATGTACTCACTTTCATTATTTATAAATACTCTCACATAGACTGATAAATTAAGACTTTCTTGGACTGATCATAATTTAAACATTTCAGGACATAAACGAACTGAAGAGTCCAGCGATGCCGTTATGCGCGAAGAACTGACAGCCATTGAAAACCTTATCAATGAGTTAGAACAGAAGAAGGAAGCGATCAAAGACGTGAACGCAAAGGTATGGTGGGGTTAAAGGTGGAAGTTTTTTGTATATTCTAAAATATTATTTTGGAAAGTTCCACAAATGTACTGAGGTTCGAAATACCGAGAATTTGGGGTGCAATGTGATGGTTTCTACGGTAATGTCATTCCAAAACAAACAGCTTGAAAGATCATTTTTGGACTTTTAGGGTTGTTTGGTGAAGGATTTGTGGGGGGGCGGGGGGGGGGGGGAAAGGGGGAGGAGAGATGTTGCGTTTACCAGTCACTAGTTTTACATGTGTCGCGACATCTTTGTGAAGTGCTGAGTACCATTTTTAGGGTAACGCTATGCTCGACACCTACAAACGGGATGAAGCGCACAATCTCAGCCATGAGCTCAGCAAGCTGAACATGCGCTGGAGCAAGTTTAATGACAAGTGAGTTCCACATCTCAAATATGGCCCCGCCATAATTTTGTTGACAATCATACGGGGTAAATCTAAGGGGGCACGCAATTGAATCTGCGCTCGGAGCTTGGGGAAATCGCGCTAGGCGTATGCCTAGCGGATGTTTCTCATTTGTCCTTGTAATTTACCATTTCCCTAGGTGTATAGAGGGTTGTACGCTACGTACAATGGGCTCGTTATCCTTGAAAATGTCAGAGCTCGGTCGTTGTTTGTTTCACGCTTTGTACTATCATTGCAAAGGTTATGCGCTTACATTCAGTCACGTGGAAATACCTCTTGCATCTGTCCTCCAATTACTTTGTAACTCTTTTAACTGTTAAAATTGCTTATTCATACAATAGGAAGATTCTTACATATCATTTACATGAGAATCTGTAACTGGTTCAAAGCGCTTATTAGTAGAGTAAATTGATCCGAAATTATCCAAACGCTTCCAGAAAAAGAATTTTTCTGTAAGTTATCTCATGGGAAAACTCAAGAAAAACTCAACAACACTCAAAATCTCTTGAAGATTTTTTTACGAATTTTTCTCATGACTGATCAATTCCTGTGTCCTCACAGGTCTGAGTGCATAGACTTGTGGGTTTAGCGATTGGTAGACCTTAACCAAGCCGGTACCCAAATAGCATCCTCATTTGCGACTAGGAAACTGAAGTTGTAACTCCACTACCGTACTCGAGGATGCTGATTGGCCCCTCGGGGGTACATACGGTAATGGACAAAAGTTTAAACTTGATTTTCTCGACCACGAAGAAAGCAGATGAAGCACCGGGTGAACAGTGTCTTCGTTAAAGCTTCCGATAAGTTTCACCAAACAAACTCAGGTTTCCAATTTTATATACTGCTTATGAACGCGACCAAAGCAGATTGTTCTGGAGCTTTTCTCATGATGATTTAGCCCGAATTAGGTACTTACTTATGATAACTACGCTCTGGATTATGAAAGTAGCTTTTTTTATTCTTTTGAGTATGACGAAATATTAGGAAAAAGATATTACCTTTATTGCAGCCTCCGAATCCGTCGCGCTGTACTTGAAGCGACCCTTCGCTCACGGACCGACTTTTCCACCGCATTTACCGAGTTCGAGGAATGGTTGGGTAAAATCGCAGCAAGCCTTGGTGAACTCGAAACTCTCACCGATAACACACAATCACTCAAAGATACGGCAAAGCGGCGTGAATGGATACAAAAACAGAAAGTAAGGCAGTCCACTATGTTTGGAAGGCCTAAAATCTCAATTTTGCAGGAACTTGAAACAGAACTGGATGCGCATGAATCTGTGTTGAGAAGTGTAGAGGAAATGGGAAGAAAGCTTGGTGCCGGACTGGAATCTGGAAAAGAACGAGCAGAGATTCAGAATCGTCTGGAGGCTGTGTCACAGCGATGGAAAGACGTCAGGAGTACTGAGGCGTCTGTCAGGTAAGGTTATCACAATTAGAGTTACTGATTCAATTTCGTTAATTGAGAAGCATTAAGTTAATGTTGGAGTAACCATACATGGTTGAAAATATGGCCAAATTCAGGAAAATTACGAAGTCAAAAATTATGAATAAACAACGAATGAGGAGCAACTTCCTGAAAGTTTTTCCGTTAGAAAACAATTTCTGCTTACGATTTGACATGCTTTTTTCATCCAATAATTGTGCTATTCTTGTTAGACAAAAAGTTTTTGGTTTATGATAAAAGAAGAATTTTTCTTAGAATTTGTTCAGTTTGAGAAAATTTTTGGTTTATAACAAGAAGTAGAATTTTTATTTTATCCAAAATACATTTGTTATTTTATCCAAAATACATTTGTTATCTAGCTTTGAGTTTGAAAAGTATAGCAGTACTCAGAATTTTGAATAGATCCTTTTCTGATTTTCGAAATAGGGTTTCAAATTTCAGGAAACGACTAGCAGAAGCTGAGCAAGAATGGGAGAGGCTCACTAACACGTTGTCCTCTCTTATCGGTTGGATTGAAGACAAAAGCAAAGAGGTTAACAATTCTCTTTTTCAAGAGTCTAGTGACGCGACTGGGTTTTGAAGAGAAAGTTATTTCCATTCAGATGCTTGCTCAGCAGCCCGTTGGAGGCAGCCTATCCACGGTCATGGCTCAAGGTGCTTGGATGAAAAATACGGAAAAAGAGATGGAAGTGAAGGTTTGTTTAGCCTTTTATACTTGCAAGGATTGATTTTTATTATTTTAGAGTATCCAAGTCCGTGATGCCATTACCAACGCGCATTCATTCCTCATGCAACATGACCTTCGCCCAAAAATGCACAAAACCGGTGTGTTGGCTGAGGATGACGATGCTGGTATGTTCTTCGGCCTCCCTCTTTTATTTATTATTTATTGATCTTTTCCTTTTTCCAGAAGCGGTAGATGCTGAGCAACGTCGTTGTGGTCTACAGATTCACGCTGATTGTGAAAAGCTCAAGGAGAAATGGGCAGAGCTTAACACACAGTTTACCGACTGGGATAACGCAGTTCATGCAGCTGCTGTTCGTTTGCAAGAACTTGAGAGAGCTTTGGCTGAATGCCAACTCCATCTTAGGTAGGCTTCTTTGTGCTATTTGAGCGAGCGGTCACTTTGCATCGCTACCGTATGCTACCGTAAACAACACGAACATGATTTTATTCATTTTCATTTTGAAGCGTTGATTATGCAAAATTTTTGCTTAAAAATAGCCCTTTGAAAACCTGCAGTATTCAGCTTTGAAGTTCTGAAACTGGCCCTTTTGCGCCGCGACAGTATATGACCGTGAGCCTACAAAGAAAATTAAAAATGGTCTTTTGAAACATTGCAATATACAGTTTCGGAATCGTTGAGAGTCTCTTTTTCCTCTCCCACCGCTACAATATGCCATTGTAGGCTTACGGAAACTTAATTCGAACTGATTTGATGCATTCAAGCGTGTTCAAAATTATTACCAAGAAGTACTTCGTTAAAGCATTACAGAATAGTTTCGAAATTTGGAAGGGCCATTTGGCATCACTACAGTATGTTCCAGATAGCCCACAAGAATATGAATAGTTTCCATTTGATGAAGCATTTTTTACTTTCACTTAGTTGTTCCAAAACAATGCAGATTTTAGCTTTGCCGCGGGATCGTTGCCTTTTTGTCCCCACTTTGCGCAGCGTTAGGTAGCAACTTGATAAAAGTGCAAAAGGGTCCACACCCCTCCCCACCTGACGCATCAATTATTCAATGGTTAAATTTAGCTCCGTCGAATCAGAAGTGGAACATCTTCACCCCGTAGAACGCCTTCGCTTGGAAGAACTGAAGGATGCTCGACGGCAATGCGAACTGCTAGCCACTCGGGTGAATGACCTCAGAATCCATGTGGATGATGCTAACGATGCTTGTGGACGAGTTCTCGCCGCTGATACTCCATTAGATCAACATCCGCGAAATCAGCTCGACTCGGTTAATCAGCGGTAAGTTTTGCCCGAATTTTTTCGGACTCCAAATGGTGCACTTTTCTTTTCAGATTCGTCGCATTAAAAACAGCACTGCGTGTAAGAAGTGCCGCGCTACGCAATGCACTTACGGATTTCGGACCTTCGTCGGAGCACTTCTTGAATCAAAGTGTGGTTCTGCCTTGGCAGCGTGCTATCTCCAAAACTAATCAGCTACCGTACTACATCGAGTAAGTTTTGTAATCCAGTTCAACGTAATCACATACGTCCATTCTTTTTTCCAAAATTTAGCTCTGAATTTGAGTATCATGATCAGATGGAATAAAACTGAAATTTGATTTGTACAAATTGCACTAGTTTCTCAAGAAATCTTCTCTCGCTCATTCTTGTTTACTTAGAACTCCAGATGTAAGAAATGCATTTGATAGTGAGACCTCAAAACTAGAATTTTATATATTTATGTTGACAGTAAAGTTCAACAATGTTATTGATACCCTAGAGAACAGGAACTTCTTAAAAAGGACATGTTATGCCAACGCCCTTTCGGACAAGTCATCCTGGCTCTTTTTTGCGCGATGGGTATTTTTGAGTTATTGAATTTAGCATGAATTTATCGGCTTTCGGAAAGTTTTGAATCCTATGTTAGTATCTTGACATTTTTATTGACATCAATATGGATATCGTTGCAAGTTATTTTTTTGGGGGGAGGGGGGGGGGGGAGGAGTGGGAAGGGAAGGGGTCTTTTTTATACGAAATGGTCTGCATTATGGTAGTGAGTTCGCCAAAAAAAAGTGAATTAGGAAATTGTTGGAAAACTCACATTCTTTGAGCTCTCCTTCATATTAGAACTCACGTTATTCTTGGCTTAGGAGAATCTGACAAACGTAGAATTTTATTGATTGTGCATTTTCTGCCATGCAATGTTCCGAAGGCGGAAGCCATTCACTAAAAAGCTCTGTCCGCGTGGACAACTTGCACAAGCAGTGCCTAGAACGCGATTTGTGCCGGATGTCCGCGCAGGCAGAACCCACTGGCGGTGACCAGAGGAACCTAAACCCTGTTCAGTATCTTTTATACTTCAGCCACACAACGGAGAAAACACAGTGGGAACACCCCGTTTGGGTCGAGATGTCCAAGGAACTATCACAATTCAATCGCGTAAAATTCATCGCCTATCGTACAGCGATGAAATTGAGGGCACTACAAAAACGTCTTTGCCTTGATCTTGTCGACATTCCTATGCTTGAAAAGGTAAACAAATTGCCTTCAGGCTACTTCCAAGCTTTCAGTGTGCCAGCGTTGTGGCGGCGCCGTGCCACCCCATATTGATCGATCAGTGGTAGCACGTTGCTGGCACGGGTTTGGAACGAGCAATTGTGGGCGCGGTCTAACCACGTTTTTTCTTTAGTGCTTTTCCCGTCTGGCCGGACTCTCCAATGAGGAATCTCCAGGCTTGGAAGGTATGGTGAGCAGCTTGCTCCCGCTCTTTGAGCAGCTCCACCAGAAACATCCGCAGATGGTTCGAAGTGTAGCGCTTGCCGTTGATCTCTGCATTAATTTTCTTCTTAACCTCTTCGACCCGTAAGTTTCATTGACGGTTGACTTTACAATGCACGACCGTTCGCTAATTATGTTTTTGTTCCAGATCGCGAGATGGACTGCTACGCGTTTTGTCCTTCAAAATCGCACTTGTTGTTTTTTCGAATGCTCCGTTAGAGGACAAGTACAGATGTGAGCAAAATTCCCTAAATCTGTGGAAGTCAATTACTCCCTCCCCTCCCCCCTCCCGACATTTTCGAGAGTTACCTACATGAGTTATCAAGTTGCTCTTGTAACTTCTTTTCACGGATAACCAAAAAAATTTTCATAGATTCCCGAGAAGTCAAATTATCCTGTAAAAGACACTTTCTCGGAGGCTTGGCTGACTCTACCACTCCCTCCCCCCCCCCCTCTTCTCTTTCGCCTTTTCTAATGGGGTTATAGACCACTTGGAATTTCGGAAAGTACCTCAAAAATTTCCCTAGAGCGCGGCTATCGTCAAGCTTCTTCACCTTCGTTTGAAAAAATCCCCTCTCCCTCCCGGAAAAAATGTCATGAATTTCTCTGCTGCGGAGATGCTGCACCTTTTTCGAATCAAATGCATATAAAATTTGATTTCCGTCATCAATTTTTGATCATCAACCTAATGGTACATCTTGAAACAAAGTAACAAAGAACAAAGCAAGTTTTCATAATCATTCAACAAAATAAGGTTATCAACCAAGGAAAAAAATTCCTACTTATTTGACATACAAAAAAACTTTTGTGTTGCAAGTAATTTCGACGCTCAAATAATGTTCTTGCGTTGCCAACAACATTTGCGCGTAAAAAATGGCCATGTGGAGTGAAAAGTGAATCTGCACACTACGGTCATTCTTTACACGCAGATGTTGTCGCCACCGCAAGTGCAGTTTCTTAACTGTCGCATTTGCTAACGTTGAATGAAAACTGGGCCGACAAACTTCATGCGTAAAAAATGTCCGTGGCGCAAAGAAAGTGGACGCTCCGTGGCTACTTCTTACGCGCAAATGTTGTCGACACCGCAAGGGCAGAACTACTAACTGTCGATGACTAGAAGGGGAAAGTGCCTACCTTAATGCTACAATACTATCATAGATTTTCATGGTTTGTTTTAAGAAAAAACCAAAATATGTTTTGCAGTTCTCTTTAACTTGGTGGCTCAAGATGGACAAGCCGACCAAAAGCATGTTGCTTTGCTGCTTTACGATCTCATTCAGGTTAACATTTTGAATATTAAAAAAAACTTGTTTATACTTCTTTTGACTTTCGAAGAGTCAATAATTTTGGGATGTATTTTGCAGTTATTCTGATTTCTTCCAGATCCCCAAACTAGTCGGTGAAGCAGCCGCTTTTGGTGGCTCAAACGTCGAGCCATCGGTCCGATCGTGCTTCGAGACCGTGCGTCTATCCTCGTCCATTTCTATAGCCCCCTTCCTCGAATGGCTCAAACAAGAACCACAAAGTGTTGTTTGGTTGCCGGTGATGCATCGCTTGGCCACGGCTGAGTTCGCGAAACATCAGGCAAAGTGCAATGTGTGCAAAATGTTCCCGATTGTTGGACTGCGATATCGCTGTCTGCGCTGTTTCAATTTGGATCTCTGCCAGAATTGTTTCTTCAGTCAAAGGACTGCAAAGAAACATAAGTTGAAGCATCCAATGCAGGAGTATGCCGTCCCTGTAAGTTTTATAGTTTGATTTTGGATGATCGCGTCATTTGCGACGTAAAATGTGTAGTGCACAATACGCGTGCTATCTCACGACTTGCGCTTACAAGTTGCCTATTCCCGATAAACTCTTCTTGCTTCAAAAAGTTCTGAGCAGAGAAATGGATGCCTTAGGCGCCAATTTCGCGGACTACTACTCTTTTTCACATGTTATGACATGCTCTGTGAGGACCAGTAGTCCGCGAAGGCGGCGCATATTAACCATATTCGTTCTTCCATCCTCAACTTTTGACGAGTATGCGCAAATAAGCTTAGATGAATTTTCCTTCAAAAATAGAACTTTAGAACGATATTTATGACTGGTTTTGGGAAAGAAGTCGTGAGATACCGCGCGTTGTGTGCAATTTCCCATATCACGTTATAAATGACCCGAGTATGAAATCTTAACCTACATCTTCCAGACCACCTCTTCTGAAGACGCACGCGATTTTGCTCGAATGGTCAAGAACAAGTTCTCCAGAAGCAAAAGTAGTCTTGGCTACTTGCCAGTAGATGTAAGTGCTCTTCTCTCTCTCCCCCCCCCCCTCTCTTCCATCTTATTTTTTTCCTACGTTCATCGCTGAATTTTCATTTAGGTCGGCGATGAAGGCAGACCGCTAGCCGCGCCACCTGCTGCAGCCAGAAATCCAGCCACCGAAGCGCTGCACCAGCGATCGGCTGCGATATCGCATCGCTTGGCTCAGCTGACGGCATCGCAACCAGCTGAACCTCGAGATGAACGGATCGCGGATATACAGAGCCCTGCCCAGCTTATAAGCCAGGTAACGCCACATTTTTTCAAAAGCCTGGAATTATTTTAAAAAGTCTTTGGAAGACGGATAACAGTTTTCGAGTAGGAAATGACAATTCGCAAACAAATTATTTCTTAGGAGAATATTAAGCCAGTTTTGTACTCGCGAGCAAAGATGTGAGACTTCTTAAAAAACCCTTAACGACATCAAATTTAAATCGACCTTGATGACTCGCGGAAGCCAAAAAGCCTTAGTGGGAAGTCTAAACAGATCGTGGAGGGATGAGCTTCAACAATGGCTATAAGAGAATACCCAAACTACGATCGGGAAAACCCCAAAGGCTCTAGTGAAGGATGACAAGGTTACGTCAAGGTGACTTGCGTAAGTACTGCTGTACTTCCCAAAATGAACCTAAATCATATTCAACCAATGTAACAAAAAGTGCACATCACCTCCTCGTCACTCATGAAATTTGGGGAAGTGCCATTTTTGGATTACGCATAATGACTCGGTGGTGACTTGAGTTCCAGTACGACAAATTTACCTTATTCCGCGTCGTTCTGTTAAACAAAAAAAGTTATATTCTGCAGTAACGTTTTCTGAAAATTTAGCTTGTTGATGCTCCATTCTTCGTTTATCAGGTTGTCCCAAAAGTGAACTCCTTTTCTGAACAAATCAAGTTGTTTGTTTTCCTGCCAACGTACCATTTGATAGAGCAAACCAAGCTCTCTAAAATGGCCACCAAAGATCCGCCTATTTTGATCCAAGTAAAATTTGGAGCCAAAAATAAGTTTTTCAACCATGCTGAGAATAGAAACTCCTAGAAATTTTGTGCGGATCTTCAACTTGATTACTATACAGTATATACATCTTATTACCTAGTACATAGGATTTCCAAAAATGTTTTTGGTGGATTTTTTTCGGGGCTTAATATTGAGAAATCAAGATAGCCCAAAAGTGCAAACATATCGCTTTTTTCGGGTTTTTACGTTAGAATTGGTATTTCTTGAATACGAAGGCCACACAGTGGTAAAATTTTAGAGTTATACTTACTAAGGCTTATGGCAGACAATGACATATGTGGGAAGGGCTGAGGGCGGTGTTTGCCATTTATGGACTGTCTCTTTTTTTCTCGTTCTGATTTGGGGAAGAAATCTAGTAAGTTTATTTTTGAGTCTATGTGTCTACTATACTGACCAAGTTTAAGGTCCGTAGCATTTTTATTCGCTAAAATCAATTTTGAGTGAACTTTTTTTTCAAAAATTTTGGCTTCATACTTTATCGGCGGTGGACGTTTTGTAGAGCCTGCTTCCCTGTATCGAATGATACCGGAAGAACAAAAACAACTTGATTCAGGAAAGAAGTTTAACCTTGGGACAACTTATTGCTTACTATCTGTTCATCTGACAGCAATATCATACACAATCTCAGGTTTCTGTGCTGAGAATACGATGTCGCCAATCCAACAAAAAATTGTTTTTGCTATCATGAAGACGTATTCTACATTTCAATTTGAAGCATGTTCCATTAAGCACAGCAAATCTTCAAAATCACTAACAGATGCAACATTCTCAAAGTCTAAACCATCTGAAAGCGAACATCATGACATAATGATGGAATATATGAAACACGTGTCCCTATTTTCATTGCAAATGCACCTGTTTCACTTATGTTCTTTTGCTGAGGATAATGGTGCATGAAACACCTTCATTTACATTCATGTTCTTCTAATGTACATTGGCAACAGTTTTTGGTGCCATAGTAAGTATTCAGTGGAACTAAACTGGTCGTGCCACAATTCGCAAATAAATATTGGTTTACAAACAGGGAAAGTGTGCAAACATCGTTTGGCTGTGGCAGTTTGCGAGAAGTTTTTCGGTTTTATCACTTTGGTATCGTATCATTCGCGATGAAAATTATCAGAATTGGGAAAAAATTTATTTGTGTTTGTTGGAGATAGGGGAACACTGTAAAGTTCCTTTTATTTGTGCGATTGCTATAAAAAAATGGGAGTTCGTAATCCTAGCCTTCTTCCGTCTTGTGAAAAGAATGTAACGAGAACACATAAGCTTTGATTCAATTGGCTTGGCTTCGGGAAGGCGGAGCTCTGTAACATAAGGGCCGCTCGCGCCCGCGACGCACCTGGGTCTCACCCGCGCGAGTACTCTCTGATCGTTACCCAGCCTCAAATTAGATAACGAAGCTCCGCCTTCCCGAAGCCAAGGCAGTTGAAATGGTAGCTTAACTTTTTTTTCTGTGGATTTGCAAGAATCCCAGAAAAATGTAATATCATCAACGAATATTAAAAATTAATATAACGGTGCCATAACTCAAAAAACTTTTGTGTATTTGCTCATGAACAGGTAACACAATGATACTGTACAACCCTGAATTGGTTCAATTTTGAAAGAAAAATAATGGATCTGCAAGAAACCCAGATTAATTTGCCAAAACTCACAATTTAAAAAATGATATAGATTTGATAGCAGCTGTAGTATTATTTCTTGCAATATTTTATTTATTTTTCCTCCAAATCTCGCTACTAAATATGTAACGTAAGGAAACTCTAAATACCCCAGAATGACAATAACCGTATCATTTTTCACCTTTTCTTCTTCCATTCGGATAAACCTATAAATCTTTCGCGCACCACCGTCAAACTTCCCATTTACACCCAAAACGCCATTAGGGATGTCAGCACGTAACGCTAAAACTCTTCAAGGCCGCAAAAGTAATGATAGATGGCTGGTTTTGGATGTGAAGGGACACATTTGTAACGGGATTCGCCTTTTAGGGGATGAGGAGGAGAACATCTGTAAATGTGTTCGGCTAAGGTGTTCAACACTCCGAACAGGGCTCGGCACAGGTGGCTTTGGCAGCAAGCTGGATATCGTTTTTGGGACAAAAAGCAAAGAAGGTTTCGTTTTCGTGGCCGAAAAGAGACAAAATTTGCTTTTTTTTCTTTTTTTGGTCGACGTTTCGTTTTTTGGAGATTTTTGGGGGATATGGTATAGGATCAAAGGGACTTCGTAAAAATCTGCAAAAGTCAAGAGGACTTCGTTTTTTGCATTTTCAACTAGCCACCTCGTGCCGAGCCCTGATTCCGAAGATTAGGAGAAAGTATTCATGTCGTGCTTCGGTTATAAGGAATCAGATTTGAGCTTACAACTAAACTATGAATTAAAACGTAATGTACTGGCAATTCATATTAAGAAAAGTTACGACTCGAAAATTTCGCAAAGAAAAAGGAGATGGAAACGCGAATTTCCAAGTCGAGATAATGTGGTTGGAGGTTAATTTGATGTGAAAAGTTTCAGTTGGAAACCGCAAAGAAAACTGAATGAAACATGAAAAATTGAGATTAAAGCGTAATTTGTTTGAAAACCAGAAAGTAACATCAGATTAAAGCGTAAGATAAAATTGAAGAGAAAGTCTGCGAAGAATCCCTATTTCTCTTCTTCTTCTTGTTCCTCTTGCTCTACTATTTTTCTCATTTTCTCTTCCCTTCTCCTTCCTTACTTCTAATTCTGTCCTTCTCCTTTTCTCCGCCTCCTTACCGGAAATGACACATTTTCGAATCAGCACTGACGCTTGTAATTTTTCATTCAACATTTGCTGATCGTAAAGTGGAATGCGCAAGAAAAAGTCGTGACTAAGGACTGAAAGTGATTTGTGGGAACTGATTTGCGAAAGTTATACTAACTCAGAACTTGCTATTTTGCGAAATGGCCACTTTTGCACCAAATTTTGCTAATAATATCACGTCAAGGATTACGAAAAGTGCCGGTGTAATTAGAAGTGGAAAACTTTGGTGTCACCTCAGATTACTTCAACATTCTGTTGGAGTCGCAATTCGTCTAGTAACGACGATGATAAAGTACCTTTGCGGTGGAGACAACACATGCGCGCAAAAAATTGCCATGTTTGTTCTGCCGACAACGTTTGCGCGTAAAAATAGACCGTGGAGCGCATATTTCTCTTTTTGCACATTATGCTCAAATTTCACTTGCATATACTAGGGGAACGCAAGAACACTATATTTGCTAAGTCTGCTGGACTGTACAAATCGTTGTAGAAGTAGAAACTCATAGAAAATGTTGAGGTTTTGCTATTCGAAAAGCTCGTGGAAACCGTAAAACTTTTTTTATTTCCAATTGTGTCCCAAATTTGCCGGGGTTTTTTTGCGTCTTTTCTGAAGAGAGAACGTGATTACACCGTTATGACCGCAAAGTGCAGGTCACACCTCGTCGAGATCGACAACGTTGCAAATTTTCGATGATCGCGAGGAGGGGGGGGGGGGGTGAGAAATGGCGCTCGCTCTCGTTGGCGGCGGCGGCGGCGGTGGGGGTGTCCTTGACGGGCGACGTCGACGACGACGACGAGGTGCAGATCATCGTCAGGCCCCGTCGACGCGGCCCCCGCGCTAGCCCCCGTCCCCGTCAGCCATAGCACTTAGCCATTTAACCAGCCATTTAAACTAGTCCCCACTCCCCCACCTTCCTCCTCTTTCCCCGTAAATCCGATGCTCTGCGCTGAGTTGGTGATTCTTATCGATTGATAATCGTCATTTCTATTTTCCCCGTCTGTCATGGCCATGTGCAATATTTTCCGCTTAACGCGGTCGAAAAAGAAAAATAAGGTTGGTCAAGTATTTAGCGCTCTGGACTGAGGTTTTGGGAAAAAAAAAGACAAACATGAGGATCAGCTGTTTCTCTTCAAAGAAAAAAAAACGAACGATTGCAGGTTGAACAAATGCAAAAGGATGAGCTGGATCAAGTGCTGCAGCGGCTTCAACTTGAAAATATGGAATTGAAACGAGAATTAGAACGACGGAAAGCTGCCACAACAAGTACCCCGGATTTGGATAGGTGAGCCTTAAGAATTTTTTTTATTGTAGAGGTTTTCTGAGCTTGAATTATCTCCAAACTCTTCGATTCTTTCTGGTGATTTTCCACTCGCTTTCGCACCAAAACAGCAAAAATATTCCCATTGCTTCATTTTATTCTCCAAAAACTTTGAATTTTTCCCTACCAGCTTGAATTTTTCTCTAATATCTATTAATCAAGAATATTGTATTTTCATTCGAGCCAAAATGACAAAGTATTCGCGCTGACTTATCTTCTACCTGACTTGAAACTTCAACTCCCCCCTCCCCCATCCCCTTCCCCCCCCCCCCCGTCAGTAAATAATTTCAATCCATGCACGTTCCTGAGGAAGCTTGGTGAACTCTCTTCCAGAAAAGTACTTCATAGCATATATTCTGACTGCATGGAATTTTCTCTTTTCGTTTTTGAACACTCATTTCCGGGCGAATAATTCTCTTACTGCTATAGAATTTGAGTTCTTTACTTTCCACATAACCTAACCATTCTGCATTCCATTCCTCTCTATCAAGAACTGTCAATCAAGTTTTCAAACTAGCCCATTGACAGTCATGACGGTGACTTTTATGGTTCATCATTTCCGTTCGGAGGTCGATTCGCGCATGATAAACTGGCCGAAAAGTTCATGATATAGTGCATCGAAGAGACCTAATCATTCATAACATTTGCTGAAGGGACTAGAATCGAAACAAATTTTCCAGAAGAAGAGAAGAAAGTTAAAAGTGTTGAAATGAGCAGAAAAGTTTTGTAACCCGAGCTGTTTCAATATATGCTTGTGGCGTAGTGAGTCTTACCTTATTCTTTGGATTTGTTCCCTCTAAGTGTTTAGGTGTTGCATAAAACGGCAACTGACAAATTGTGATAACATAGATTTTCGTAGCCAAGTTGCCACACCCACAACTTAAACTTTATGACATAGTTTGTTTGAAGTACCCCTTAAACGGCCTAGAATCTTTACCCGGACTTGCTTTGAATTGTCCATTTGATTCGATTTTTGAGAATTTCCCAAATATATGCTAGTCGTCCAACCTCTGAATTTTTGAACGAATCTTTCAACAGCATTGATACAGCATGAGCAAGCATATATTTGCGGAAAATTTGATAAAAATGAATCCTGCGTGAATCTCGTAAGCGTTGTAGAAATGTTTGGTTCTCACTTTGCCCAAGGAACCCTTCAGCACCTTTTTACCAGAGACCAGAATCGAGCTCGCTAGCGGATAAGCGATTAAGAGAAAACATGCCACAGTTTCTAAGAAGAAAATTTGAAACTCTGTTGATAGTCGAAAAAGCAACGCTCTTTAATTGTCAAGTTCTAGAGCGTAAGGGACCAAACATAAATAGCCTGATACCTTGTACATACTTCTCAATTGTTGTCACATACCGAGACAACTGGATTGGTTTCTTTTGGCTCTAACTTCTCCGCTGAGTTTTTTTCCACTTTCCACACATCGTTCACCAAACATCAGAAATCGTCAGAAAATTATCTGAAAAAAGGTTTGACCTACAAAACATAATCTTGGTGCAACAAACTAATATTTCATTTTGCTCGAAGCATTTCTTTTTGAGGAAAATGTACCACAAAACCTTCCTCTCTCTTATTTGACATTTCTGTGTTCAGTTCCCAATGTACAAAAAATAAGACGTACATAGACCTATTTGTTGTCAAAACAAAAAGTGATTCCATGCGTGATTAGTAATATACACTAAATGCTGGTGTGACTAACCTATAACTGCACTTCCTAATCGTAACTGCTTTTATTCATTTATCCTTCATCTCGAAACGCCATCGATTCCGCTTCTAAGCTGTTAATTTCTGATATTTGGGGGATTATTCATAGCTTGCTACTGTAACATCGCAACCGGTGTCAAAATCGAAACTTCGGTAAGGCAAAGGTTACCTTCCTTTACTTTAAGGACGCAAAAAAGGAACTTATAGTTGTACCATTCTGTTATCTCTCCCTGAGTGAGAAATTATCATCCAACACTAATTTTTCAGAAATATATCACCCACTCGTCGCGACACCCGAGGAGCAACCCTTCCACGTCTCTCCGGTCAGACAAATTACGTACGAAGCGTGCCATCATTGAAGAGTGCACAAAGTCAGAGCGATGTGAGTTTTTTTTAGTTTTCTCTCTCAATTTTTGGCAAAATCTCTACACATCAAACCACCAGTCAAGCAAAAATCCTTTTGGCTTCAAAACCAGTCTAAAATAACATGGAGAAAGGGTTTAGATACGGATCATCGGTTTTGACACACGGTATCAGCAAACAGAGAAATGCATGTCAAAAGAATCAAATACTGAGCAAATAAATAAAAACTTTGTAAAGAAAAGTGATTTTAGGTGATGGATGAAGCACGAGCGTTGCGTTTACACAAGCAACGTCTCGAACATCGTTCCAGGATATTGGAACAGCAAAATGAGCAACTTGAGCTACAGCTGCAAAGGTTGAAAAAGGTCATTGAACAGGTGAGGGAGAGAAAAAATTATGTTATTCAGTAGATTTGGCGACTAACATAACGTAGTTGGGTGACAACACTCGCGCGTAAAAAATGCGAATCATGAATCTGAAAGCATAAAATGTGCGCACAACGGCCACTTCTTACGCGCAAATGTTGTCGACACCGCGGTGCACACTGTCCTACCCGTTGAACTTGAATCAGCTGAAGTTATTTTTGGTCAATATATAACTCCTGCGTTAAAGGCGACATATGGGGTGTGAGAAGTTGGTCATAGAGCGCAAGAGACAAAATGCGCACTGAACGCTATTTTCACGCGCAGACGTTGTCAACACCGCAAATTTGCTAATTCATCGCAACCTTAAAATTTACCGATACTTTTGACGGTCAATGTTATTTGCGTTGCCGACATTTGCTAGTGAAATGGCCGTGGGACGCAGAACTTAAATAGTGCGCCCAGTTTCCATTTTTTGACGCGCAATTGCTGTCAACTCTGCAAAGGCGCTAAATCAATCACTGATTTGGATCAACCTACAACCTACTGTTATCCGATGATTAGAATTATTTGCCCAGCCGACACCACTTGCTCGTGAAGAATGCACATAAGGCATTTCGACTACTGCGTGGCCATGGCCATGCAGAAGTCGAAGTGCGCGCTCACTGTTCGTTTACGCGCAGTTGTTGTAAACACCGCAGAACCACCGTGTTTACCACTGACTCCACGCTACACCAAATGCACATAGATTCAGCTTGTTTTTTTTCAGCAGAAAGAGAATGGATCTCGAGCGGAATGGAGTGCCGAACGAGATTGGGCCGAACGACGGTCGCATCCCCCCTACACCTCTTCTCACGAAGAGAACGGACTCTACGATTCCTCAGCCCGCTCCCGAGCGTCCGAAAGAGCCGGATGGGACGAGGACGATGGGCTTGGCCACGACTCGAGTAGAGGCACCAGAATGCAGTCGCTCCTGGCCACCGTCGACGATCTCGGCAGAGCCATGGAGAATCTGGTGGTGTCCGTGGTCTACGACAGCGACCAAGAGCAATAACATCTTTCACTCTCTCATCATTATTCCAAATGTTGTTGTTTATATGCTAACTAGAACGTCGATTTCTAGACTTGCCGTGTTTTACTTCGTTCAGAAGTACATTTTTGTGCAGTTTTGCAGGATTCCAAGCAGGACCAAGGGCTCCAAGTCCCTCATTCCTCACCCAATTCTGTCATGACTGCGTTTAGTGTCACCAGGTGAACTCATCTCATTGTTTTCTCTCTCTCTCTCTCTCTTCTATTTTTTGTGCATAAGGGGATGTTCTCCTAATCGATTTAACGAGTGTATCGAAATGCTTTCCTCATGGTGCTACAATCGTTCATCACTGACAATAATTATGTGCCTAAATATATTGTTCATTTACTTTCCTCAATCCGTGTGTTCAAAGTATTGCTCAAATTCTATTCGCATTGATTGTTCAATAAGATCTTTACCACATATTCTACAACGATAGCAACAAATCGCATGTTTTTGACTTTTAATTTTTTAAGAGGGCAAATAATTTTCAGATGGGGCGGGGGGGGGGATTGGATGAGATATACATTCTAGTAGACTTGACGGTCATTGATAGAGCGTCTTACGACCGTGATAACTGCTTATGAAACGCAAAACTTAAATAATACGCTCAACCAGATTTTCACGCGCAAATGTTGTCACCACCGCAGAAGCACCACGATGATTCTACTGGACCGATTTTAGCAAACACAACAATTTTCTAGAAGAAGAAAAAAATCCCCGTTATTTGGAAGGAAGATTTTGCTTCAACATCCTAATCATGCTCCAACAAAGTAGGTTACGGTAGGCTCAATTTTTAAAGTCAAAATCAGTTCGTAAGAAATTTGCCTACGATCACAATTGTTGCACTCATACTCCATTTTAGTTCTTCTTTTTTCAGTGATTACGGTAAGCGTACTGTTCGCTGGGTGAGTGTACGGTTAGCTGAGATCTCACTTAGGGTGGCCATTTTGCAGGCAAACTATAATCAGCACTCGCGAAAAGTTTTTTTTAACAATGACAATAGCAATTGTCTTGAAAGGAGTAAGACTGGTGTGGCGGTATAACACGCCGTTATAAACGTACGTAAAAGATTTGCAGGATTCAGTCTCTTCGACTACATATTACAGTGCTTGTATCTTCTTCAAAGAAAATAAAAACGCCAATATATTTCATCCTCAAATTTCCAGAATTTCCATATTACCTTGGCTCCTGCACATCTTTTTTTTCACATAACAGAAAAATGCTTTAGTTTTATGCTCATAAAGAACAAAATAGAAGCATTGCTGAAAAAATGACTGTCATATGAGAACTACACAATACCCATACATTCAAGTGAAAAGCACAAATCTGATCAGAACTGACTCAAGACACTGCATCAAAAGCATTTTTTTGCACATACATCGAAAACAGGATTACGCACCCGCAATGAACGATAGTTGGCACAAAAAGTACCAAATACGATTTACTCTGCAAGTGGAGAGTGACCTAGAAACTAATTCGACGCAGAAAGATACAACAAATAGGATTCAAAGGGATGACTATGGCAAATAACTAAAACTAAAAGTTACATGCGCTGATATTAGAAAGTAAAATCAGAATTTACAAGAGGGGAAAAATGGCCTACACAGTTGCTGGCCATGCTGGACAAAATTCATATGAAAGCTTTTAATTTATGAAACCTCTGCAGGGCTAGGCACAGGTGCTTACAAGCAAGATGGATGTCGTTTTTGGGACAAGAAGAAGAGGGGGTTTTGTGGCCGAAAAGAGACGAAATTTGCGACGTTTTTTTTTAAATCGATGTTTCGTTTTTTGGAGATTTTTTAGGAATCATGGTATGGGGTCAAAGGGGACTTCGTATTGATTGGCAAAAGTCAAGGGGGACTTCTTTTTTTGGATTCAACTAGCCACCTCGTGCCGAGCCCTGAACCTTTCGCAAAATGCATGACTTCGCCTACATTCCGAACAAAAGATGATAAATCAAATGGTGCTAAAGTAGATCCCAATTTGGATAATGTACCTTCACGCTTATTTACAAAATCCCTTTTGCCTCTTTCTCAGTTCAAAGGGTACAAAATCTTGGCTAAAGTTAACAACAGCTTGAATTTGCAGAGAGCGGATGTTGCATTTCCTGCCGCTCCTGTAATTGCGCAGCAAATCCTAAGCGTTTTCTCCTACGGCAAAGAAGTCTGAGCATCACATTACATTTCAAGAGTTTCCCAAGTTCCCAGGTATGCTATCTTGTTGCATTCTATTAAAATAGTGAAGGAACATATGGGGGGGGGGGGAGAAATCGCTGAGCTTAAACTCTTACTTTTAAAATCTACTGCAACTTCTGCCATGCTCAGGCGGAGGGGTATGGGGTCAAAAATGACATTTGTTGGGCTTGTATTTCAACTGGATGAAGTTGTAGCAGCTGCTTGGACTTTTTTGCAGTAACAGTCCCTCTTCAAAAAAATAAAAAAGTGCGCGTAAACTCGAAATAATTCTACAGTTCTGGCAAAGTGTGAATTTGCTGAGAAAAGAGCTATATTTGGCCAACCCCTCACAAAATTCTTCAGCCTTCAAAAAGACAAGGAAGTGAATGACTTGCGGACAAGAAGGGAAACAATGGTCTTTTTTTTGCCTCGGCGGCCTGCGTCACTGCTGACTTTGGATTCACCAAATCACAAGAGAATTCATCATCTGCACCCAGTGATCATGAAAAAATGAATGAGAGAATACTAGTTGCGGAAAGAAATAATCCTGTTAGGAGACACCAAGGAAAAGCACAAAGAAAATCAACAAAGCTCCAGTCAACGTTCGGCAATGTCCACTATTCGATACCATTGCTGCGATAGTCGTTTCTGGTTCAAGAAAATGATATTCCAAAGCGTCAGGCATGGAAGGAGTAGTAAAAGGTCTGGGAGTAGTTGTAGAGGTAGTTTGAGTAGCAGAGGTAGTGGAAAGCAATTTTCGTGTGCGAGTAGTAGGAGCAGGAACGGCCCGAGGGCAATCACCATTGGGAAAGTAAGCTTGGCAAGATTGATCGAGGCAAGTACATCGATGAATTGTGGCGTTGTGAGGCAGAGAATGGATGTCGCAACCTTAATTACGCAATGTAGAGGCTTTCAGAAAATACAAAATGCCTTTGCTTAAAAATTTGTTACCTATCAATCCATCTTCAGGAACATGGCAACCAGATAGGATAAAGCTTTTTTGTGGGGAAGTAACGACAGCTCGAAGGCAAACTAGACCAGCAGGACATTCAATAGGGGTAGGAGTGCAACAAGCAGCTCGTAACAATCTAGAATGAAGAATTTTGCGAAAAATTTTAGGCTGCATCCAGAGCTGCCTGGGCGCGACGTCGTGCCAGCACCGTGCCAGAAACAGCATGGACCCGGCACGGCGCTGGCACGGGCAACTCTGGACGTAGCCTTAGAGTTAACTAATGTCGCAAAAACTCACCGTAAACCTCCCCCATATCGTTCACCACCGCATTGATTACATAACAAACATGTAGCTGTCGAAATTAAGATAGAAAACAGGACTAGATTCGCTTGCATTCTAAAAAGCACAAGAGACGAAGCGTTGGGTAGCGTTCCGTTCACGACACTAAAACAAGAAGCATTCAGAATCTAGAATTAATGGTGGAGATATCGGACTCTGACGCAACAGTGGATTTATTATTGCCAGCATAATTAGCTAGAGGAAGGATGGTGGCTTTTATGAATTGTGGTCCAGACATGTATGCCCTTTATCAAAGCCAATTACGCACAGTACGGTCATCACTCGAGTATTGCGTATGTCATCTGAATTTGAAAGATTTGGGTGTTTTACATGCGGAGCCATGATAATGCGTGCGGCAGTGTGTCTTACAAGGGAAGTTCACTTAGTCGAAGTGGCAATTCGGAAGGTGATCTATACTAATGGATAGAGATTAAAAACTTGATTTCAGATATACCTTTTATATCTGCGATGCGTTGTTCTGAAAAAAAATTATGAGCTTTTCTAATGCCAAATTTTCGTGCATTTTGAGTCGCAAAATCATGATAATTGCTACATAAAAGTGTGCAAGCTTAAGCAAACCACCTAGTAAGCATTTTAGGCCTATTTCGAGTTCGCCCGAACGCTTTCGAGCGTTTTTCGACCATGTTGTTCATCCACAGGTCGTCATTTTCTTCCTAGATCACACTTCCATTATGTATACAAAAAACCCCATAAACTCCATCTAGAAAGACGCGTCGCATCGGAAACTACCAATGGATAGAACGTAAGACAATGTTCTCAAATTTATCCTCAATATCTGCGACGCATTTTTCTAGATGGAGGTTATGGGCTTTTTTATAATAGGTCATTCCGAAAGTAATTTCGCTTTTTTCAAACGGGCGCCGCATCTGATGGAACAAAGATTTCTAAAAGATGGTCACAGACACAACTAAATGAAAGACATACTAGGTTGTTACATAAGTCTTGTTACACTCTATCTTCTTATGACGATAACTCGTAAACTTTATGATTCCAATAGGGCTCCAGGCTACCATTCAATAGAGCAAAGCAAGCTCTACAAGATAGTATGCAAAATTTCGCACCAGCTTCGACCCACCCTAAGTTTGCATCCAGGATGTGAGTCGCATTGAACTCAAAAATTAGGAAAAATTCATATCTTCATTTTAAAAAAATCGTACGGATCTCCGACTTGCTTACGCGAATTGCACATCACATCAGCACTCATATGCACAGGCTGTTTTTTTGCTCATTTAAAAGTCGAGAAAAAAGACGAAGCTATATAGTTTCCACTCATGTTTGTTTACCACAAGCCTTAGAAGTATAAACGTAAATTTTCAGCTTTCCACAAGTCTCAGTTTTCATAAAATACCGAATTTAGCATTGAATACCCGAGTGAAAAAAGCTAAATCTGGTATTTTTCGAAAACTAGGGATTGTGGAAAGATGAAAATTTACTTTTATACATAGAAGGTTTTGTAGTATACAACTACGTGAATAGAAACAGCATAGCTTTGTTTCTGTAAAAACAAGAAAATCTTCGTTTTCTCAATTTTTAGATGGGGAAAAAATATAGCAATGGCACATATGAGTGTCTGATGTGGTGTGCAATCTGTATGAGCAAGTTGATTTAAACGAAGGTATGAACTTCTATCAATTTTTTGAGCCTTCAGTACGATACAGATTCCAAATGTAAACTTACCATGGGTCGAAACTGGTGCGAACATTTGCACACCATCTTGTATAGTAGATCTTGCTTTGCTCTATCGAATGGTACCCTGGAGCCCAGTGGCGTACCCAGGATTTCCGCTCGGGGGGGGGGGGGGACAAAAGTTTTTTCCTGAAGTTTTTCCGGCGTCAGCCACGCACTTCAAAAAACTTTTTGGTACGCTCCCTAAAATTTTCGCGGGCCCACAACCCGAAAAAATTTTTATTGCTAAAATGAATTTTTAAAAAATCTAAAGAATTGTTTTAATTAATTACAAGTATGAACAAATCACTTGCACATTTTTATAGCTCATATAGGTAACTTTCAAAAATTCCGCGACCCATTCTTGGGGGAGGGGGGGGGGGGGCGCCCCCTCGGTATGCCACTGCTGGAGCCCTATCAAATTTATGAAGGGTCTGACTTATCCTCATATGAAGTTAAAGTGTAAGACTTATGTAAGAACCTAAATACATATGACCTAGAGTTAGGAATTAGTCCTGACTATTTTATTCTATAAACTGACGAGAAAATGTCGAAATGCGTTTCCTTCTGAACTAAATCTGAATTCACTGATTTCTCCCCAGTTTTACGCGAGATTAAAGCTTGTCGCAGTGATGAATTTTCGCTGCCAGCTGTTATGCAAGGATTTTTTTATAGATGTTTCAAGCATAACTAATGGCTCTCGGGAATTTCTCGATACCAATTCAATTAGCAAATTGTGAAGTGCGTTTATAAAGTTCCGGTATCTAAAGCAGCCTTGAAATCTTGGAAGCACCACCGCAAAGGACGAACTCCCCTTTTTTATGAAAATCGAATTCATATACCAATGTTGGAAAAGTAATGAGAATAATGAATATTTCGATTACGACAAAACTTTATGGGCTATAGCTACGTCAAACCAATCATGCCATATTTGGTTGCCCTACGAAACTAAAGAGTACGCTTGACCACTACACGTGTAGCCTAGTTCTGGCATTTGTTAAGAACTTTAGGACAAAGGCAGCAGTCACAAATTACCAACTTCGTACTTGAACTCACCTATTGCTGTTGCTCTTTAAGTGCAGCCAGTCGACTGCGAAGATTTTCAATGCGTTCACAGATTTGAACAATATCACTGGCCAATGTTTTCAGTATAGGGAGGTAGTGTTCCACATCGGCAACCTGGAATGATTATTCTCATTTCGAGCTCGTAATTTTCCAGCAAAGATGAAGGAAGCAAGTGTGAATAGGAAATTTTAATAAGCATTGACATTGCTCAAATCAAGCAAGATTTCTCACAACACACACAGATTTCAATTCAAAGATCTACCATGAAACAAAAGTGTTGACCATCTAGCCAGATCTAGGTAACTTTACGTAAACAAGCACGGGAACCTAGCTAAACTCCCACACAGGTATCGTGGAAGCTAGCAAAAGATTCCAGAAATTCATTATGATTCAAAATGTGGTCCAATAACATGCCACGTGAATATGTACTCAGTTGTATAGAAAAGATAGCTTGATAAAAATATACAAATCGATAATAATGTTACATGGAGAACAAAAATTTGTAATATGCAAGGCCAAAATCACAAAATATAATGAAAGGGAAAAGTAAAATTATTGGAAACGGTGATATCAAAATCATGAAAAATCCAAAAATGTGATAAATACGAAGGCGAAGAACTGCAAGTGTGGCATTCAGACTACTTTTAAGCTGCAATTTGGAACATTCCAGATAGAAGAAGCGTAGAGCCATATAAATCCATCATCCTTTAGCGACGCTGTGAACATGGTTATTCGCACTGAAAAAACTGCAGCGGTAACTAGGCGATGCAGTCTTGCTGGACTCTGGAAATTCTTCAAGAGTACTTCAAATCGAATGCAGTTTATTTGCAATTTTCGTAAAAACGCAGCGCTTAAAAGAGCAAACTGACGACCGCATCAGGAAATGCAGTTGAGCTAAATTGTAACTACAAAAGGCTGCGCTTCTTGTTCTTGTAGTCCTCGGATTAACCTTACAGGAAGCACACATTTCGTTCAAAAATACTGTGCCCAAACTGTACAACCCCTGCACTCCTGCGAAAAATGGCACTGACCTAAGTATTCAAAGTTCAAAGTTTGCTAACAAAGTTCAACCAAAAAAAGAATACCCCTACCTCCCATAACTCCAGCTTGCTCGAACTATTAGGTTGACTAATAAATTATTTCGGTCACTTTTTCAACTCTTAGATGCTACAATAGTTTGATTCGGTACCTTTAAAAAGAGCACTTAATAAGAATTGGAACATAAAATCTGTTTGAGTTCAATTCATTTTGCATCGAAAAAAACCCGCAAAGAAGTGAAAAATCCCGAATTTTCCTATGTGTACGAATAAGAGATTTCTTAATTTGGTTTTCCCTGTCAAATAAATTTGATAAGGCAGGTCATAGTTTTTATTGATATTCGCTAAATAGGAAAAAGTTGTCTGTATTCCACATACCAAACTGCTGTTCTCTACATTCATTAGAGCATGAAAACGAAGCTTAGAAAGTCGCAGTATTAAGCTTTTGGAGTTTTGCCTGTTGGGGCGTAACCCTTAATGATAGTTGAAGCTTCTGAATAGTTGATATGTGATAGAAGAACCCTTGAACTACTCACCTACAAGAAATCAAGAATGAAGAACAATCAGGAAAATATAGAAAATCTCATGCCAAAACAAAATTATTTTTTAGCCAACCTAATGGTTTCCTAATGTAGTTTAGGGGAGTAAATTGTTGAGATAATGCTCCTGCCATACAACAATTGTCCATAGAAATGGCTATGGTCGCAAAACGTGAGATGTATACTCTATGGCCAAATTTTTGAGCACAAATCTTGTCGGTGTTAAAATCATGGCAATTTTCCGGCGCAAATGATGTGTCGCCACAGCGATTGTCAAACTCAACCGATTATCGACCGCTACCGAAAATCGAAAAATTATTTACTTACAAGGGAGATCTATTTGATCAAAGTGGCTTTTTCAGATGAAATTAATACAACTATAAAGAGCATCGAACGCTGATTTTAAATTTGTCTTCGTTATCTGCCGAGCGCCTCTGGACGTCGAGTTATGGGCGTTTTTTTAGTTGAAAAATTGAGTGCATAATCAGAGCAAAATTCGTCAGAATTGCTTAAATTGTTCAAAGTTGATCATCAAAGCAATCCGTTTAAACAATTCCTTCTGTCCACAACACTCATATTCAACACTGCTTCATTTGAGCGCTGAAAAGACCGTAAAATTTGATTTTGCCTGGTTTATACGTTCATTTTTCGCCAAAGAAGATATTCATAACCGGGCATCCAGAGGCAATCGGCAGATAATGAAATCAGATTTGGAATCATCACCATTTGATGCTTTGAAGTGGTATAAGACCCATTTGGAAAAGCCACTTCGACTAATCGGACCTCTCCTACAGAATAAACCCAAACTTCCGTAGTCCCACCTATTCTTGCCAACAATCTGGAAAGAAGAGCTTTTCCCTGCTCACTAAGAATGCGCTGGTGAGAGTGGATACTTTTCACTCTATACTTTTTATGGATACCAACGCGTAAAAAACACAAATAATTGCACCAACAGCAATTTCACTGGACAGAGCTCAGTTTCAGAAAAAAGAAGCAATGAATGATTGCAATGATGAGAGTTGACGTCAATACAGATGAAAATTTTTACTCTAATTCATACACATTCATTGTAAAAAATTTCGAAGTTAGGTTCAAGTCATGCCAATGACAGATTCTGAAGCAATAAATGGGAGGGAAGAGATTCGTGATTTTTTTCTGAAGCGATCATATGGGTTATAAAATTATGTGGCTTGCTAAAAAAGCCCAAAAATTACGAAAAATAATCTTTTTCGAACCACGCCCTTTTTTAGACCAAAAGGTAAGAAAGTGAAAGGAAGCATAGATGAAGCAGTTGGACATGTACGTATGTAGCAGTGGCGGACCGAGGGAGGGAGGGAGGGGAGGGGGGGGCGCAAATTTTTGAAATTTACTTACGTGGGTTATAAAAATGCGCAAGTGACTTGCTTATTTATGTAAATAATTATAATAATTTTTAAAATCACTAAAGCCATTGCTCAAAAAAATGTTTGTAGACGCAAAATGGAGCATTCATGCATGCAGTCAGCCTCTTCCTTCCACTTGAGATTCAATTTAGAAGGGATGCGCTGACTGAATTTGCTATAAAACATACAGCTACATAGTTACTAGAAGAAGCAGTGGCCACTTCGCGATCGGGGCTCAAGCGCCAAAGTCAACGTCTATGTTTGCTTAGCTAATGAAAAGAAGCTTACTCTATACGTCTCAATCGCTTTTGAGGGAGCAAACAAAGAGAAAGACGGGACCAGTGAGATCTGATAGCTAAGATTGAGATCTAAACAAACAATTCATAAGCGATGAGCACTCAGACTTCACACATATTCTTCTTATAAAACTTTTTATTGGTGATGCAAATCTGATAATGACCATCGCTCAGGTATAATTAAATCGTTTTAGACTTGATTTGTGTACTTCACAACACTCGCAGTATCTTACGACTTAGCAAAACGCCAAATTTGGGAGTTTTTTTTGTTTCTCTTCATTTCAAGTATGTATAGGATAGTCAAATGCAAGTGATCATTTACATGAGTTTGTACTTTCAAAACTAGTCTTATTTGCCGTCCTAGCAATAAGTAGCCGTAAGGTACTCTGCACGATGTGCAATTGCCCATATTGAGTAACGGATGACTTTGGTGTAGTGTCATATACCGTAATAAATTCGATGAATGGCATATGCCTTTGCAGTAGCAACAACAACTGAGCGTATAACTTTGCCAAGCTTGTTAGACAACATTTGCGCGTAAAAAAAACCAAGCAGAGCACATCTATAAGTTTCACGTCCCATGGCCATTTTACGCACAAAGATTGTCGGCAACGCAAGAACACTACATTATACGTACTATTTTCTTATCTATAAAGCTTAATGTGTGTCTGTCTGTCTGTCTGTATGTCTGTACGTATGTGCGGAATAGAAATTTTTATTTCTGAACCGATTTGGCAAACTTGGCACACATACACTTCGGGGCAGGGAGCGTGTCATAGGCTACTTTTCGTTATCGATCGATATCGATTTTATCGATTTTTTGCAAAATTTGAGCTACAGGGCTGGGAGTTGGCATAGGGGGGTAATCGAGCATGCTGATTACAAATATGTTATTGACAGGGCCGGGCGGAGCCGGGTTTGCCAACTAGTAAATTATGAAGGCGTACACCTCTAAATAGATGGATTCTTATGTGAAGTTGAACAACCATTACTGAACTGTAATAGTATGTAAAGCATGGAATGTGCAAATGTGGGGAGTTGGAAAAAAGTGGCAGGTTACTACTGACATTATAAAACTGAGCCTGCAGTCTCCATGTTGAAAGAGTTATACAGCCAAAAATAAATAAGTTGTGCCACTCTAATAAGCTTCATCAAAAAAATTGAGTCACAACGTACCCTGCAGCCAAGCTCGCGCAATCGACATGCAAGTGTTTCTGAAAACTTTCTTGATGATAAACATATGGCCCAAGAAGATTATTGCAGTACCGAAGTCATATGTTCCATGCAAAAAAGAAAATTACATGGAGCTAAAAAGTCCCCCGTATAAAATCCTAATGAAGTGAACCTTTGCTAAAACAGAAAGCTTTGCAATTCTAACACAGAACAACTCGAAACGCTGGAGGGGAGAGCAGAATTAAATGCATTTGCAATTCTTATGGAATCTTTAGAGTCCTCATTATGTTTAATTGCTGTCGAGAGCAGCAAACATAGTAGGTAACTAAGCCCGCGGGCTTTTTTACAGAATGCTAGAGATTCTTGAATATAGTGCTACACTCAGAGCTAAGCTCTGCATGCTGCGATTAACATGCACAGATCGAAAGACAAAAACACAGAAGCTGATGAGGATTGCTGATTGCATGCAAAAACCATTGGAATTACGTCAAGCAATTTTCATTTCGTGTCACCAGAAAATTCTAGAAGGCAAGCGAAACGTATATCCACACCCAAAACTTCACAATCTTTTTTCTGAAGAATTTGGACATCGGTATAAGCGAAGAAATGTATGTCAACACAAAATTGTACAAATGCGAAATTGAAATATTAAGTAGTCACAAACATGAGGTTTTCGGGTTTCTGAAT